CTTAGAAATTTACCTGAAGGTGTTAATAATGAATAGTAGCTAATTTCAATAACTATTTAATTTATAGTTAAAAATTATAATGACAAAACATATTTTTATAATGATGCAAGCTTTATTTTTATAAGCTGTTCGATGATATTGATCTCACACTGTCCCGTTTTTTTATCAATTTGAATCTTTATATTTTTTAGATTATTTCTTTTTATCCTCGTATGTGTACCTATGTACCTACCTACTATAAACACACTTGTCTTGTCACACTAAAGTGTCGTATTTATACATCTACACATGTAATAAAATTCTAGGTCGAATCTGTATTAAATATTTTTTGGAAAATCTTATTTAAAAAGTGATTATTATCGATACAGAGGCCGAATCTATAATTTTTAGAATTTTTGTCTGTCTGTCTGTCTGTCTGTCTGTCTGTCTGGGAACGCATCACGAGAAAACCACTAGACAGATTTTGATGAAATTTGGTATGATGATAGCTGACGATGAGATGGTCAGATCCGGGTCAACATTTAGGATATTTTTTAATGCGAAAAAATGTCTCATCTCAGAAATCTATACTAACCGTCAAAACGTACCTAGCTAGGGACGAACCCGAGCGGAGTGAGAGAGTCGCTAGTAAGGGCGCGTACACATAGAACGTCCGTTTTACAGGTCCGTTTAAACGTATATGTTATTAGCGTATGTAGTTGTATGAGCAAGTTCACACACATGACAGTATTCCGGATCTTTCCAAAAAACTATTTAAATTTTACAAACTTAATGATCATGGTACTACATTATGTGTGAGATAAAATTTTAAAATATTTACTGTTCAAATTAAATAGATTCTTTGCTAATACTTAGTGATCTCATATGTTACATGCTAACCATAAAAATGTTCATAGTAAAAAAAACGTACAGGAACCATTTGATCTACCAGGTCAAAAAGATCTGCGTCACCTCCTAGTCTATTAATTTTTGCGAGAAACTTAATCGTGTAATAAAAGAAGGGAAAATCGTATTATTAGGCGATCAAAAATACATTTTGATATTTTATAATATTACTAATATAAATAACCTTTGGCATCAGCAACCACCACCAGAAAGTGGAATGTAAATTAAGCCTTGGGCAAAAAAATATAAAAATATTATTAAATTTCAAGAATATCGCCATAATTCTTTAGGCTATTGTTCCTAAACAAAGCCTTAATATTAAGCTAGTATAAATTTGAGTAGTTATTCACTGTGTAGTTGAGACTTGAGGCTAAGCGTGACAGTGACAATGACAGTGGGCAAACCTGTCTCGTATTGTTTACCGACCATGCTGCGTTTGAACGTGACTGGAATGACAATACGTAGAATAAAAATATAAACATTAATATCATAAATGTATGAATAATGTTTAATAATGGTGGTTTTACTTTATGCAGTTCTTAAAGGTATGGTCGTTGTTGTTAACAGTCTGTTCTGAGTAACTTTGTAAGTAGCTATCACACGCGGTTCCACTTGCATATTATTTTTACTTAACCTTCTACTTATTATGTCCAACTGATCTAACCAATGCGCCTATTATTCATTAAAATTAAGGTATTCTTACTTTATATCTTATGTAAACATTATTACCCCGTTGATGTCTTTTATGTTCATCAGTTCCTTTACTTGCTTGTAAAAGCTTTCTTAAAATTATTTAAAATATTGTGAAGATTTGTAAAGATTAGCGGGTACAAACATACAGACAGGCATTTGTGATGGATTTTACTATTTTTTTGAACTTTGCTACCATACAAATAACCATATCAGCTTAATAGGGATTTTTTTAGAAATCCTAGACAGTTTTAAGTTTTATTTGAGTGCAAAAGTTATAATAATGTTCTTCTTATTTTGGCATATATTATTTTTAAATTTTACCAACCAGACAATTTTTGTTGTGATATTATTACTTTCTATTGCGGACATACTTATGTACAAATTCGTTTCATTATTAAAATCCTTAACTATCCTCAGCTTATATTAACCTTGACAGTATTTTAGATCAATATCATCAATGAGCCATTTTGAAGAAGCCTCGTCATTAATATTTATGAACTGCTAATTTCATTGTCACTAAAAAGTTTAAATATGATTCAGATAGTGATTCATGGCTGTTAATTTTACATACAACTGTAGGCCTAGTACTGGCGCCAGGAGATATCATATGCACTATAATGTATCAATATTACTAGTACGGCATAACAATGAGTAAACCTATAAGTTTTTTATGAAGATTTGAACCTGAAAAAGTTCATTAATAAATATTTAATATTATGTACGTGACTAACGTGGGCCACTTATATAAGCATGTCTATGTTGAATCTGTAGTTTCAAGATATATACAGACTCTACCACTCATCTATCTAAAGTTCACGTTTAAGCGCAGCACGAGCGGCTTAATTTGATAATCTCGCCTGTCCAGCTTGTAATGTTATTGTTAGATTTTGAATACAACTTTGTTACGAAGTTATATTTTATTATAACAAGTGCGTATAATATTACATATTATATGAAATAAAAGATATAAAAATTTCACTTTTTATTGTTAAAATACCTTTTTCAAATAAGCTTGCACATAAAAATTAAAGTGGATTTAGTTTACTCTACGTGACTAAAATAAGTTTAAACAGGGAGATGTTTACATATTTTTAGACGGAAAGTGTGTCGACAGAACACAGCTAATTTACTGTTAGCCTAGACTCTAGAATTTAGAAAAACGCAAATAATGTTGAAAGTCGCCAAATATCACTATGGTATATCGTATCGCTTTCTATATGTATCTATATTCTATAGTAATATTATGAAGAGGCAGAGTTTGTTTGTTGTGCGTTTGTTTGAACGCTTTAATCTCAGGAACTACTAATCCGATTTGAAGTTTATTTTGCATTAGATATATATCATAGACATATATCATCATGCTATTAATCAAAGGAGTGGAACAGTAATATAATAATATATTACTGTATATATTCCATACCAACCGTTAAAGCTATCTAAGGATGAACCCGACCCAAGCAAGGGTGTGCTGCTAGTAATAAATACCTATATGTATAGTATATTATAATATGGTCTAACACCTAACATTCTTCAAACAATCTAACGCGGACGCGACAGTGTTACGAGTAGTTAGTGCAAATATTAGTTCGATTTTGCAAATAATTACACATGTGGGTATCGAACTTGTTTACTTTACAGGAAGAGGCTATTCTTAGGTATACCTGTTGAATAAAAATTTTATGAGAGTGAATTATTTAGAAAATTGTTTCTTTCTTAAACTGCAAAGCTTAAAATAATATTTATTATTAACTAGCGTATAACTATAACACAAAACCAAATCTACCCCTTGGGAACCGTATATTTTTCCGGGATAATAAGTAGCCTATGTGTTATTTCAGACCATAATATATCTCATCATACATACTCACAACAACACCTATAACATCATACATACATACTTACATTTTCACATTTATAATAATATGAATTACTAGCCAACGGAACCCTATTACTAAACTTTCACTATCCGTCCGTCCGTCCGTCCGCGGTCCGTCCGTCTGTATGTCTCTCAGAGGGCTGTACCTATATCATGGACCGCAATAGGTAGAGTCGAAATTTTCACAGAGTATGTATTTCTATTGCCGCTATAACAACAAATAAAAAAAAAACTAAGATGGCGAACTTCATAAAGACTGCCATGCAAATAAAAAAAAACGATTATGGTACGGAACACTTCATCAGCGAGTCCGACTCGCGCTTGTATTTAATAATAACAGACTCTTTAATTTTATATTCTAAGTTGTCACATTTGTCATTTATATTGCTATATACTCGTAGCTAATTAAAGACCATTCGTTACTTTTCTTAAAAGATTTAACTGTTACGGAGTTTACCATATGACTTGTGAGGCTTTTAATGGTGTTTTAAGTAAAATATTTACTGCATTTGCGATTCTGTGCAGAGTTATCTTTATTACCACCATAAAACTCCTTGAGGTCAGTATTTAAAGCGACTTAGAACTACATTATTAAGGTAACATATTTTGGAAAGGAGATGAAGTTCCTTATGTATAAGAAAATCTTGTAAATGTAAATTTGTAAGAAAAAAACCATTTTGATTGCTTTATGATTCATAAGTTTACTTTATATGAGTATAGTTAACAAATATTGTTGTGTATGAAAAAAAAGATTTATAAACTAGGGACTTATCCTCGCTTCGCTCGGGTGCGTCCCTAAATAAAGTAAAAGTAAAGAAAAGTAGCCTAAGTTACTCCTTATAACATCAGCTATCCGCCAATGAGAGTCCAATCAAAATCGGTCCAGCCGTTTCGGACATTAGCCGGAACAAACAAACAGACAGACACGGACTTTTTTATTATAAGTATAGGTATGTGTAGAGATGAAAAGATTTTTGTTTGTGTAAGTTAGGATACAATTTTTATAAAAAAATCATGTTTAATTGTATACTAGGTAGGTATATGTAAGAGTACCTACTAAGAAATTTACTTTTAAATTTTAGCGCCTTAAATTACGTTTGGTACACATTTTATTGAGTTTCGTGACCGAAGACATAAATCTTTACTTTTATTGAAGGAACGTGATATTGTGATCTTTGGCACAAGTGCTTCAACTTAGGTACACAAGTAGGTTACTAAAAAAGTTTATCCTCAAAGTGTTTTTAGGAGAAATCAATAAAATAAACAAAATCCAATATTTACTTAGATACTAGTACGCTGTTGTTTTTTTTTGACCATACTAAGAAAAACATCAAAATATTTTCAAAATGTATAGAAAATCACTTTTTATCAAAATCAGTACCTACCTATGCAGATATTTTTTTAATTTGGATATAAAAGAAGAGAATGTAATTAGTATTTCTTTCATTCGTTTTTTCCTTAACTAAAAATGATGTGTATTGTGTAACCAACTAAATAATTTTGCCTATTTAAAAAAAAACTATACTTTAAAAATATTTTTTTCCAGGGCTACTTGCACGTGTGGAAACGAGAGATGAAGTTTTCTGATGAAGAATTGCGCGAGTTGTTCAATAACATAGAAGATATTTACGCTTTCAATAAGTGAGTATTTTCAAATGATAACCTAACATAATAACAGCTAATCATTATCATTATTCAAATTTTAATTAAACGAAAATTTTGAAAACAAAAGATATTTTCTTTTGGTTTTCTTTGTAATAAACAATGAATGAATGAGAACGAATGAAAAATATAACATATCATTTAACGTACAGCATATCCATAGGTACTACTAGATATTATAAATGAAAGGAACACGGTCAGTCTTTTCAAGCTTGAACAGCTGAACAGATTTCGATGAAATTTGGGACTATGATTGCATTAAGGACGGACACACGTTACCGCATTTTTATATCCGACCCGCTACCACACGAGTAGGGCCGCTAGCAAAAACTAGTATTATGTAAATATAATATAAATTAAATAAGTATAAATATATCTAAATCTCATGTTACATATGAATTTTAGTATTTTTCAACCGACTTCAAAAAGGAGGAGGTTCTCAATTCGACTGTATGTTTTTTTTTTTTATGTTTTTTATGTAAAATTTATAGTTTTTTACAAATATTGAAGGCCATCAGTCCAGTCAATATAACATGCTCGTAATAATACTCTCCCTTCAACAAATGCCCCGAAAAGCCGCCAATTTTGCTATTCGGCATATTGTAGGGCACTATACTTCATGCTTTTAGTGAGTGGAATTTTGGATGGGGACGAATTTGGTGTATTTTTTATAATTTAACTAACATTGAAAAGAGTGATGTTGGATTACTGTTTTGTTGTTGTCAACATTTGATTTGTAAATGTTACTAGGTACTTCTTTTAATTTCTTCATTGCTTTAAAATTAAATCATAAGAAATAATGTTCTTAAATTAAACGAACATATATATATGAGAACCTATTATGAAAATTGATTATCTAGAATCCAGATCTACCTCCCAGTGAATTACATTGGTCATACAAAAGTTGGGAACGTCAACTATTTTTATATTATAATAAGGAGAAAGAGGTTTTATTTGGTTTACTGTAGAGGGCAAATGGCCTACTGACGTAATGAATAAAAATTCAAAGGAAAGGGAAAAGGTTTCAAAGGAAAATTTCATCGAAAAACGGGCCTTGTAATATTTTAAAATGCAGAATATTCTTTATTGTCATCAATAAAGTAAAGTACTGTAAAATGAAACTACTATGCATTTAAGTGCAAATACGGCCCCTAAGTGAGGGTGTGGGTATAATAGGGTGGGACGTCAAAAGCAGAGGGTACGGTTTTTATTAAAGATATGTATGTATTTGCTTGACTGTAGGATAATCCTCGTTAAGAAATTTTGTTAGCAGATTTTTTTAACTAAATGTGATTTTTGTGCTTAGAAATATACGTGAAGAATTATGACAAATTTTCTGATTATTGTGTTGGTAAAAACATCAAGAGACCACAGAGAAGTTCAGACGTCAGGTGGACATTCGTTTCATATAATTTTTATTATTAGTCAAGAATATAATTCTACTAGGTGGGTTTTCTAGTAGGATAATACATACATACGTATACATTTTACTTTACGGGGTAACTTGCATGGGGTAAGCAAAGTGCCAAGTGCCATGATTTCTAAACGTGATGGAAGGTCATATTGGGTAAAAAAATGTATCAAATTTTTATTGTTAGTAACTTCTCTATAAGTCTATCCTACCCTCATTAGTTATATCTTAACACTATTAATTCATGTTCATTGGTTCATCCCTAGGTATGTTTTAACGGTTAGTATGGGATAGATAGACTATTTATATTATATAGTGTATTATATACATAGGTACAAAATAAACAGTTCTGAACTTTTCGATTTCTCAGCTGTTTTTTTTTGGGTTTTCCCTACTTTTTTTATATAACTTAAACCATCCCTGACACACCCAAGAATGATTCAAATCATTTTCAGTCAACCAGAAAAGAAGAATTATTCAAATCGGTCCAGCCGTTTTTGAGTTTTAACGAGACTAATGAACGGCAATTGATTTTTATAAATATAAAGACATAAGAATATATATGAAACATTGCTAATAAATAAATATAGGCGCTACGTCCATGAAAACTAATAAAATAATGTTAGATATTCATTCTAATATTAAACTTAAAAAGAAAATAACCATTTCGCAATAACTTTCTTATTTTAACTCAGCCACATGAAAGTGATCCAGAATAACCGCACGTATTCTATTTCATGGCCTGTTTAACTTGACACTCCAGTGTTTTGTTATCATAAACAATACTAGTAATCGTAGTAGAAACTTTCACCAGTTTGTTATTACACAAATTTATTTTATGTGAAAGGTTCTTAAATTTTACTATATCTTTATAGCACAAAGCAGATTTCGAATGGGTCTTAACGACGCAAATTAAAAGGCTTCAGAAAAAAAAATCTGGTACCGGATACTGGATTTTTGCCGGATATCCGTTCTATCTCTGATTAGTATATTAGCCTAGTGTGTGGGCGGCGATAAAGTGACTTATTGCAGAATGAAGTTGGTGACGGTACCTATTACAATGAACAAATTATATTTAGTTAATTTTTTAAAATTATTACTAAATAATAAATATTTGAATAACCATATAGGACGATGTCCTCATCATTATGTACCAGGCCTTACTGTAACGAGAAATGTACATAGCAGCAAAGACACCTTAAGATTTTGCAAGATTTATTACTTTTACAGCATTTGAAACCTCCAAGCAGGCACAAAGGGTTGACGAGATTTCTCTCAAAGTCACGTAATTCGCATGTTTATGGTGTATCGTAAAGTAAGAACAATGCCCACTTAGCCCTGCACCTTTAATTTTGTACAATAACACTAAAATATCGATAGTAAAAGAACAGTGTGGCATTGTTGTAAATACTATAAATATGAAATACTGTGATGTTGATGTGATTAGAACGTAGTTTTTTTATTTAATGTTGGCACATACCAAGGTTATGTGGGACTCACCGGCTAGAAAAGCCAGTACTACACACTAAACCCAACAAAACCTCCCTCGTCTTAATGGGCCATCGCAGGATCGCTTACGCACTCAACCACGACGCTCTGACGCGACGGCAGGTCTGCCGAAGTAGACCACAACAACCATGGGGTTGCTCCAACGGTACACTCCGCTGTCAGAAAAGTACCAGGAGCGACCCGCATGGTACACTGAAATGTGCCACCTCCCTGTGCGTTTCTTGGCTTCGCGGCGAATTATGATTTTCTAATGAGCCCTTCTCCTCATACAAATTACCCCATATATTCTACTATTTCTATCAGCACCTACAAACTGGATACAATCATTGGAAAATTACGCACTGGCCATTAAATACATTTTACGAATGGAAATTCAAAACAAAATGAATATTTTTCATTTCAGGTCCCTTTGCAGCGAACTCAACACGTGCCACCTCGACGCAACGTGTATCGCGCGTTGCTTCGTCAACAATACCACTGGCTTCTCGGTCTACACTTCCTATTGCACTGGGTACATCCATATATTTTACTAAACCAATAATCTAATCTATGCAGATAAATAAAATTGAAGTGTCTGTTTGTAATGTGAAAATAACAGCGTTTTACTAAATTATATAAAATTATATAAGGTACTTATAAGAAAATAACAATTTTTTAATTTATTGTCTGTCTGTCTGTTTGTTCTGGATAATCTCTGAAACGGTTGGATTGATTTTGACGGGACTTTCACTGAAAGATAGCTGATGTTATAAGAAGTAACATAGGCTACTTTTATTTTAGAAAAAGAATTAGGGTTCCGTTCAAAAAAATTAAAACGTACCTAGGAACGAACCCAAGCGAAGCTAGGGTGAGTCGCTAGTTACTATTATAAATGCGAAAATTTTTATGTATGTTTATTACTCTTCACGCTGAGACTGCTGGACGGATTTGGATGAAATTAATACACAGATAGCCTACGACTTAGAACAAATTTTAAATACTTTTAATATTTTAATAGTCCCTAGGTAATTTTACGACCAAGGGACGTATCTGAGCGAAACGACTTTGTACCGTCCCAGTTATTATAGTACATTATAGTTGTTATTAGACTTTGGAGTGCACAAGTTAAAATACTTTAAGTTTGAAATACTTTAATTACAGAAGTTACAGTATAATTTTTACGACTCTAACTGGCCACGTCTGTTCGGCTCAGTGTCTTTAAATGCACTCGTAAAAAATGTAGCGACGCATCGCGTCGAAAACCTATCGCGCAAAACTAAAAATGTACGTGAAACCGTACCAGACCCACTAGAAACTGGATAATTTACTTTAATTAATACATTCCAAAATTTTACGATACATTCCCATATCATTCAACATCCATAACATTTTCCTTTTACTTATATTCGTAATAGTATTATTTTTTACATATACTAATTGTTTAAATATTTTCAGCTACCCTCGTACAATGGAGCGTTTGGCCGCACTCGCATCTCGCCCGCAAAGCGCGAGAGAGTTCCGGGAGCGACAGTTGGAACTAATGCATCCATTACCTCTCGCTTCATATTTACTGAAACCTGTGCAACGGATTTTAAAATATCATTTGTTACTTCAGGTTGGTATTAAGCTTATAATATAAATATTAATTAATACGAGAGAATGCTTTGATAATGTACTCTTCGGTTAAGAGTTTAGTCACGTCGGCTGATCTTATTGTCACTGTCAACTTGTCAACTCCGGACTCCGACTCCGGACTGCCAATTTCTGGATTCGAATCAAAGACCTCCGCATTAGACCTACGAGGCATTTAGGCATTAATATTGCAAAATTATATTAAATTGCTGAAATAGCCGGTGCAATATTATCAAGTTAACCAGAAAGAAAAAAACTAAAGGTTGTTATAATAAACTTTGCTATAATTAAAATTATAATTTTGAAACCCATCTAGGAACTAAGTTTAAGTAGCTAGTTTGAAATAAAATAAAATATAATATTTTCTTTTAGAATGTTGTGAAACAATGTGCATCCAGAGAGACCGAGTACGCGTTACTCAAGATGACGGGCATTGCGCACCACATCGACGACATGAAGCGGAAACACGAACATGCTGTTAGGGTACAGGTGAGATACATAATTAATTTAAGTTATTATCAAATGATATAAAATATACATTAGTCATTGGTCATCATTATGATTTACAAAACAATATAAACCATAACTAGCGGCTCCCCCTCGCTTCGCTCTGGTTTGTCCCTTAGTACATTTTATGTTATTTGATATAATTATTTTACTGAAATAAAAGTAGCCTAAGTTACTCCTTATTACATCAACTGCCTGCCAGTGAAAGTTGGCTGAGCCGTTTCGGAGATTAGCCGGAACAAACAGACAGACAGACAAAAATGTTAAAAATTGTGTTTTTCTTATAAATACCGTATAAAATTCCATATGCATTTAGTAAAAAGCTGTTATTTTGACATTAGAAACAGACACTTAAATTTTATTTATCTGTATAGATGTATAGATAACAAGTCTAAAATTACTTTAAAATTTTATCAAAATTAAATTCATTTAAAGTGTCTAATAATCGCGGAAATTTGAGAAAGTAACTCAAATAAGTAAAAAAGACCTTATTGAGTTTATCTGCACTTTTGTTACATATTTTTGTAGCTTTAATCCTTTAAAAATAATTCATTATTATCATCAGTGATCCATAAAGCTAAATGATCAAGAATATCTTTATTTTTTTAAAACCCTTAAAATGTTTGTAGATATTTTTATATTTATTATTATAATGATAATTTTTTAGGAGATCCAGTCGCTACTGTACGGGTGGAATGGACCGGACTTGACTACTTACGGAGAGCTGTGCGCCGAAGGGACCTTTAGGTACATAAATATGGCTTGTTTTGTTAACTATTTTTTATTGATGACTATTTTATTATATCGGAGACATCGATTAAGTGATATTAAATGTTTTTGACAATTAAAAGCTTCTACCGATATGGCTAATACCAAACTTTTTTCGATCAAAATCAGTCATGCCGCCATCTTGTGATACTCGTAGTGCAACGCAGTGAAAAGTCACTGTAAAAACTTTGTCTATGCCAAATCTATTTTTCTAATTATAAGAAAAAGTAATTAAGAAAACTTATATATTATGTGTTACGCGTAAGTCTTAAAAGAAAAACCAAAGCATTCTTTTAATTATTACATACTTTTCAAAGAAGGTAATATACTTATATAAAGAACTTTCAATTAATTTACAAAATATTATATAATGTGATGTAGCGTGACATAATATGATATAACATGCATAGGTTAAACTAATTTGATGTAGCGTGACGAGATATGACATGACTTAACGAGGCGTGACATAATGTGATGAGATGTAATATGATATAACATATTAATAGCCGATGACTGGCAAAAAATGCCGTCTTATATATTTATAAGTCAAAGATCCATAAGCCATTTTAAAAGTGTTTCATCTATTATTAACCTGTACACACCAGTTATACACCTGTTCCCTCTCCCTCTATTGAATACTGCTTACTTTAAATTTACGTGCGGATAAAAGTTGGGCGTCTCTTCATAACGAGGCTACACACTAGAATTCAGCTCATTACTAATCATTTTAAAAATGACTTACAGATCTCTGCCTAAAAAAAAATCTATACTATGTACATGTATTTAGCCCGTTTTAAAGTCCCTCTGCTGGGCACGGGCCTCCTTTTAATACGAGAAGGATCAGACCTGCACATGTCTTTCGAAAATTTGCTAGGTTTTCTCAGACATGCAGGTTTCCTCACGATGTTTTTTTTTACTGTAAAACAAGTGGTAATCATGTTAGAAATGATTCGCACCTAAAAATATCAGATGTACGAGACCTGGGATTCGAACCCGTTTTACTCGGTTTCCCGAGCGAACGCGTTACCACTAACTTCTATACTATATATACTATTATTTATATTTACTAACAAATTAAGTAATTTTCCAGAGTGTTCGGCGCGAAGGCGATGCGTCACGCCTTTCTCTTCGACAAAATGCTACTTGTCACTAAGAACAGGGAAGATGGAATTCTAGCATATAAATCTCATATAATGGTATGTAATGTAGATGTATAGTAGATAGTAAAGATGTGAAAGTATTCTTTTATTGTGATTATCGTGACTTTATAGGTCGGAAAGACACACGTTACTTTATATCTTGATACATCAGATTTTCATCATCCAGCAGTTCCTTTCAGCGTGTAAGAATCGAGCACACAGAAAAACAAACTTCCTTTATAATAATAAGATGAGAAAATCTGTTAGATTGTTATTGTATATGTGGTAGATTGTTCGTCTTTAAAGCAAGCCGCAGAAAGAGAGTAGTTGGTGGTCCGACTTTATATTGCACCTAGCGACTCACCCTCGCTTCGCTTGGGTTCGTCCCTGGCTTGCTTCCCAATACAATACAAACTTTCATCCCCATTTTCACCCTTTTAAGGGATGATTTCCGGGATAAAAAGTATCTTATGTCCTTCACAGGATCTCAAACTATTTTCTTACCAAATTTCATCTAAATCGGTTCAATAGATCCAGAGATTCTCCCTACAACGTCACAAACTCACAAACTTTACCTCTTTATAATTTTAGTATAGATAATTACATCTTCTTCCAGTGTAACAACATGATGCTAGTAGAGTCTATAGCGGGTGCGCCGCTGTCCTTCCACGTGATACCATGGGACACGCCACGCTCGCAGCTCACTCTACAGGCGCGCTCCCCGCGACACAAGCGAGAGTGGACTTTATTGCTTAAACGAGTAAGTTTAAATTCCTTTGTAGATGTATTTCTTTCACGTGATATAGGCACGCTCCCTGCGGCAGGTGAGCATGATCTTCATTGCTTAAACGAGTAACTTCAAGCGTGAGTGGACTTTATTTCTTAAATGAGTAAGTTCTAATTCCTTTGTACAAATAACTTCCTTTGTTGAAATTCCTTGATTTGTTAGATGTATTCCATTTCATTTACAAAAAGTGATATGGGATGATAATTTGGGTTAAAGTTATATTATCATTGAGCGATAGTTCTAGAACTTTTTACAGGTGGGGCAACGACCAGTAAATTAGATGCTAGGTTTTTTACAATTTGGTTTGTTTCACAATTTAGTTTTAATGTTTAGATCGATTTATCAAGATTCACTTTTGATCATATATATTATTACTTTTATATTAATAAATATTTCTATTCTTAGGTTATACTCGAGAACTACAACGCAGTCATTCCTTCTCATGCCCGGCAACTAGTAATGGAGTTGGGACAAAATAAAACTGATGGTATGTTTACTCTATCTATTTTAAAGAATTTATTTATAATGACTTAATTTAACGTTTCATATAAAAATTGTTCTATTACAGACGACATCTTAGCGGAGAAATCACATAATCTTATAACACAGGCTTCAATGAGGAAACAACTATCAGCACCAGAATATCTCGAAAAACGAAAATTAGAACGCGAGAGGAGAAAGTCTTTTGAGAACGGCATCATTAGAAATAGACTAAAGAAAGCTAATCGAAAATATACTATTAATAATTCTAGAGAAGAAAACCAAGAATGCGATTGCTTACAATATTCAGCCGAAAAAGGAGTGGACTACACTTGCGATAATTGTTATATAGACCTTTGTTCTGATTGCGAAACAGAACTTGGTAAAGATAAACTTAAAGATGAGAAATGTGCGTGCAAAACTAATGACGACATAAAAGATTGTCCAGAATGTGATAAAACTCTTCACTTCGTTGATAGTGGTAGTGCGGAGAGAATTGAAAGGAATAAATCGTGCAAATGTTCTGATTTCAAATCATCTCAAGAGAGTTTCACCAAAGAATTTAATGGCTCTTTAAACAAAACTAGAGGATATCACTCATCTGATAGCATCATTACTTACACAGAGACTAAAAGCAAAGAAGATTATTCCGAAACAAATAACTCGCCAAATTCTAAAAATATTACAAAAACATGTCTTAAATGTGCTAAAATTAAAGAAAATATCCCTGTCACAGATTCAATGAGTACATTGCATACTAGAAAATCTAGATGTAATGATACTGAGAAACATAGAAGTGACACAATGAGATCAAAGTCTAAAGATGATCCTCAAAGGTCGAAATTATCTAAAATAGGTACATGGAGAAGAAAGTCTGAACCTGGATTACAAAACACAATAATAATAACAAAGAAATCTCAAGACAGCGATAGTGAAAGGGCGGAAAGTAAAGGAAGTGAAAAGATAGAATTTGAATGTCGAAACTGTGGATCGAATAAAATAACTAAGAAAGCAAAAACAAATGAAGGATCAATTGTTTCAGATGCGGAGTCTGATATTAAAAAGAAAACAAATATAAACCCAGTAACGAAACCGAATTTAGAAATTAAAATGTACAATACTAAAAACATACCAAAGAAAATTACAAAAATAAAGAAAAATCGAGCGAAAGGTATACGTCTAGGATCAGACACAACAACACGGTTTTATACAGATTTCTCAACCGATGTATCTACTGAGAACATTTTGCACATATCAGAATCAAATGACAGTTTAAATGTTGACAAACCAAAGAACCCACCAGTACCGATCCCCGATACAATAAGTAAAGACGAGGACATTGACGAAGAAACATATAAGAAGTTGATAGAAAAAACGGATTCATTTAAAAAGAATGAATTAGAGAAGGTCAAGTACTTAAATAAACAAAAAGTGATTACAGAGGGAACTGAGACAGAAGACAAAGCACAAGAAATACAAGGAATACGAGGCATTCAAGAAAGCTGTGAAGAAACTGAGCAGCCTTTAGAACAAATTATATCACAACTTCTAATGCAAAATCGAGAATTCCAAAAATTGCTGAAGAAACAGCAACAACGAAATACCGCTCAAAGAAGACATCAAAGGCTTTTGAAATCTCATTCTAACCCCGACCAAGTTATATTGGCCAAAAACGAATTAACAAAGTTAAAACCAAAGTATATTCGTCAAATGTCAGAAAATATTGAGCTAAACATCAATGAACATGATGATCAAGAACTTGTTCAAAGTGAAATAGATGATGTTTCTGATGACGATCATATCTATGAGACTTTGAGAATTGAAAATAGATCTGACAATACTTTACACGGCTTAAACAATAAAAGTAAATTAATACAAGACAATTCACATGCTGTTCGGCCAAAACGATTGTCATCTCCACAAAATCCGACGCAAATTGATACTGAATTAAGAAAAATAAATGGTCCTGAATCGGATTATGTCTATTTGACGTTTGATGAAGCTAAGCGACATGAAGGGTTAGATGATGGAATATATGATGTTCCCGTTAAAACACCTGAAAAGGTTGCAAAACCGGAGAAAATATCGAAAAGCAACGATTATTATGTAACAATGGGAAGTCAGGGTCCTCCAACTAATGAAGAAAACATTTATGATAATTTATTAGATGTTTGTCGAAGGAAAAAAGAAGTACCAAATAGTTTACCAAGTGATTATTTGCCGATGAGTCCTGATCAACAAAGTCCTAATACGCCTGAAATATGGTTAAGTCGCCAAAAAGAACATTTTAATGTCTCTAGAGATAGAAAATCCGGTTCATTGCCGAGAAGTTTCCAAGTAGTAATGAATGGTCAAGATGAAACCAATTTAAGTACATTTAAGTGCAAACCAAATAGCAATAGTAAAACATATTTAAACAGAGATGGCAAAGTTTTAAGTGTTGATAGACCATTTACGATTGCCTCAGACCAAAGTGAAATTAGCTATGATGATGTAGAAACATATATGAGTGAAGGAGATGTTTTGAAATTTAATAAAAATTCACAATCAAAAGAAGAAGAGTTCGTACAGAATATTAGTCAATCTACTTTAGAATTAGAAGAAGAAATAGATAGATGCTACAAAAATAATTTTGAAAAAGTTGATTTAGATGCTAATAAAAACGAACCATTAAATACATCCCAAGCTAATTTGAATGTTTCTACGACATCATCTTGTGAAGCTCTAACTGTTGAGCAAAATGAAGAGAAGACGAAGCCAGCTGACGTTATACATCCAGAACATAAAATTTATAAACCCACAACTAATGTATTATCTTTGAAAAATGTTCTTAGCCGTTTCAAAAGTCGAACTCCACCCAAAAGTAATGAAGAAGGCGAGGCAAATGAACATGGTCCAGAAAATGCTAAATCAGACTTAAAAAGTCCTACAAGTGAAAAAAGATCAGCTCTAAACCCTAGAAGTTATTCTAAAAATTTATTGCAAAGGTTTAGAAGTATTATTGGTGACGAACAACCTGATGATAATCAAAATAAAACGGAATTGAAAATAAAAACTGAAGATCATAATATTACTAAAAATGAAATCAAAGTTATCATTACGTCTACTGACAACAGCCCCACTACGTCAAGTATAGTTTATTCTATAAAAACTGATGCATTGAGTAAAAGTGTTTGTGAACATACTACTATGAGTGAAAGTCAAAAAGAAAAAAATAATTTAGAAATCTTATCTCAAAGCTGTGAGAACATTAACAAGCCTGGGTTTAGACCGAATTATGAGAAAAGTATTAGTATGGTCACAAATGTTACTAGCTCATTGGCAAGTACTCCTTCGCCTTCAAAATCTAACAACAGTTCTTATCAAAGTTTGAATAAACTGCCCGTATATATGCAAGGTAGCAAGCACTTAGGAGCTAGAATAGCCCAATCTGACTATGTAGATCCTATGACACTTATGAGTGAGAGGAACGCATTAAAAAATGTAAATATACTTATTAACAAAAACGCTCTAAGACCAGATAGTTTGTTTTCAAACTCATCCTTTGTTACATCATCAAGTGAAAGTACGTACCAAGAAAGTCAAAATAAAGTAAATAGACCAGTAACGGAAAGCGTGACATCATCTTGTAAAATTAATTCCGATGAGAGTTATTATGAGAAATCTTTTGAAAAAATTGAACAATTGACAGATGAAGACATGTTTAGAGATTCTGCAGTTTATTCTGATCAGGAAGAAGGCGAGGATATTCATGTTGAAACTGTTAACAAACATTTAAATAAACCTATGACTAGAGTGGAAAGTATTAAACGAGAATCTTCCTTTAGAAATAAAAGAACTGTCACTACGAGTAGTACTAATAGTAGTAATAATAGTGGCACTGAGAAAAAGTGCGTACAAACACGTGTAACTGTGACAAATAAAACTCAATATATAGAAAAGAGCGACAAAATAGAGAAGCCAACTAGTGACAAAGTTGCTATTGCAAAATCAAAGGTAGCTCCACCTGTTCCAATAAAACCTAAACTGACAATTGTTTCAAATATTGCAACAGTTCAAAGTAAAACTATAACTAAGACAAGTTTAACTAAAACATCAGATCAATCGTCATCATCCGAATCTGTCAACACACGAACTATAAAACGAAATACAAATTATAAACCCTCGTACACTCGATCAGAATCAACGCCGGTACCACCAAAAAATAAGGCAAATGTTCACAATATAATGAAAAAATCAGAAGAAGTAGTTGAAACTAAAGAAGTATCTGAAGAAGAATCATCAAAACAGGGAATACAATTGAAAAGACTAAGTTTCGAAAGAGCCAGCCTTGATTCAGCAACCCGAAAAACAAAACCAAATATCGACACTAAGAGAACGTCATTAGAACAACCGTCTACATCAAAATCGGTATTGGAAAGACGATTGGAGATAGAGCAAATGACGAAAACCCAAATTAAATCGGTTCAAACTAAAAAAACATTGCCAGTCGCAAAACCTAAATCTATCACGTCTAAAGTAGCATCATTTGAGCGAAATGTTAGTGAAAATAATAAAGAACTTAAAAGTAATTCAGGTGTTGTTAAAATAAATTTACCTATAAATAAAAATTTTAGTGAAGAAAATGTCGACGTCGACGATTCAAAGGAAAGTTGGGTGAAACAGGTTGTCAATAAATTCCAGTGAGCTTACTTTTGCATTTAATATCCGTCTGATTTTCTACTCCGCTTTTTGGGATCCACAGACAATATTGTAGTGTTAATGTTGTTAATAATTATTGTAAATATTTGTTTTCTATCAAACCTCCTTGAGCTTTGATGTCTTGTGCCATAGACAAGATAAATATTTTGGCGGTATGTTATACATCACTATGCACAAAATATAAACTTACATCATAGGCGTAGCAAAATGAAAATAATGGTAATTAGCAAACAAATAAAATGTCAATTCTTAAATAAAAACATAATTTTTATCAACAACAAATAATCGAGTCAAAGGTCTCACTGTAAAGTTTTAAAAATAATCTTTCTTTGACGAAATTACTAATTATTTTGATCTCAATAATAGAAAAACATTAGCTACGCCTATGCTCGCACTCTGTAAATACAAGAATTGTTAATATGCTTATTTTGCTATGTATTTATCAAAAAGTGCCATGGTGATTAGTGTTAAATCCTATATTTACAAAAATTATATTTTTCGTGCAATTAAATGGAGAAAATTCAAAGTATTTATTTTAAATTAAGTTTTTCGTAGCTACTAACACCAAAAAGTAGAAATGTTATTTTTAGGTTATGTTTTATTTTGTGAAATAAAAATAACTGATTTGTATTTTTTTATTTATTTTACATTCCCATGTCGAACACTGCCAGTTATGGTTATAAATTAAAAACGTTTATCAATTTTTTATATGTCAAATGTTTTTAACGTAAACTTGTATTTTACTCTGGCATTTAAATTTTTTTATCTACGGAATTGTATCTAAGGAATTGATGTTTTAATAAATCTTTATAATATACATTTAAAGGCAGGCTATATGGTATTGCTGTATTTTACACACGTCTTAAATTGTTGTATTATTAACACTAAAAATGTAATTTATAAAAATGTAAGTTAACTGATTATAATTTTTTTGCGATGTTATTTTATACAGATCTACTTTGACAGCGTTGAGTTTTATCGCCATAATAGCTTAAAAAACATAGTGTTGGTAATATTGTATATTTTTTTCATAATTAAATTACATTGGAAGACAAGTATACTTAACTCGTTGAGACTGTTAGTTTAAGCATTAATTTCTCCTTAACTAAATTTACATACTAACATTATGTTAAATGGAAATCTCATTGTACTCTACTTAATAACGTGATTGTATGCAATTTTATCATCAAAATAACCATTATTAAAGGCCTGTATCCGTAATCTCAATATTTTGTAATTGTTTAAGATAAATTTTAGACGTTTTAAAAACGGGCCTTATTAGTTATTCAACCACATATTATTATTTATACATATACGAAATAACACTATCCTAAAGGAAGTATTACCCTAAAAAATTTGCACGTAAATAGTTATTTTAATATATAACAATTAAAAATACCTATTCAATATTTTATTTTTTCAATTTTATAACGAGTCTTGTCAAAAAAGTTGTTCCTTCTCCAACCCGTGGCTTATTTAGTACATTTGCCATTATCATTATATATTTTTTCGTAGAAAATATATTCATATATGAGTAAATATAAATAATAATGTGTGGATAAGTATATACATAATATATTTTGTATGTAATCATGCCTTAAAGTTCAAAATATATTACGTCGTGGATTTGCGAAATTAAAAAAAAAACATTAAATCGACTTAAAAAGTTTCCATTCGGTGAAGATTTGGAAAAAAATCAAATTCATTGACATTGACAGTTATATTTTTATTCACAAATCCACAGACAAATAAACATCGTACAATTAAAGTTGTGAACGAATACGCATTACGTAGAGTTTCTTAGTATTGTTTACTATTAAGTATTACTAATGCATATTGCCCATATCGAGGTAGTTTTTGATAATAATAAAATGATTTTTCATATAAATTCTTTTATTGATTACCTTTTTAGTTAATTTTTTAAGAGGGGTGTTTCATAGTAGTGTTACTTATATCTGTGCTATTACTATTCAAAAATTGTTATATCGCTAAAGAAATTCAATTTATTTTATTAATTTTGTACGAACAATGTATGCAAATAATGCATATGCAAAAACGCTATCAGCTCTTACTTACATCGATTAGCCGTTCATAAGCAAAATTAGATAATGTCTCTATCCCCAGAATCTAATTCAAGCCAGATGAATCGTTGAGAATTACAAAATTCCAAAATACATTACAATACTCGTCCTATATTTTAAAAATAACTATATCAACACAAAACTTTCTTAGATTTACGCAAATATTTGACATTTTAAATAAAACTATCTAATCTCATTTTTGGTTCCCGACGTTTCGAATGCTTTACAGCAATCATCAATCCAGTCTCTCCCATGACGATGATTGCTGTAAAGCATTCGAAACGTCGGGAATAAAAATCAAAATAAATCCGCGAAAAAAATCCGATTTATATATATATATATATATATATATATATATATATATATATATATACACTACATACATATATACATTTTTTTTATATATATATATATATATATATTACTTAAGGACTTATTATAACAAGTATATCTATTTTTACGATTTTTATCTCACTCCTGTAAGATTTTGTTATATCAAACAACCTTCCTTAGTAGGTACATATCCTTGCCGGTACATATCAACAGTATGATCGAGCCGTTGCTGATCCAGTAAATCAAATCAGTGATTAAAATAATGGAGTGTACATCAAGCGTTTACTTCAACCTGTCAGTCATAAGAACCATAAGTACATTCAATCCATTTCATGTACTTGGGGTTTAAACAAGATATCTTTCTACAATCGTTAAAGGGTAGAAGTTCTAAAAAAATGTACTGAAATGACAAATATTATGATTATTTCATAAAACCGTATTTCAAAGCTTTGAAACCATTCACAAGATAATTGAATTGAATAATAGTTTATACCCATGTTTTTGTACATTTTTATTCTGCAACGATTCTAGATTGACATTTTGTCTAATGCCTAAGTCCCTAATTAGACAGATAGACAAATTATATATAATAAAAACGAGCGAAGCAGGAATATATAAGTAGTATACATGTACAATGAAAAATCGTTAAGGATGACTGCAGTGATAGTCACGCGAGATCAGTGCCAGGAGCGGTTTTGTACGACGTTATATGTCAGTCCTGAAATATAAACTTTGTTGAATGATTTGCATGAGAAAACTTCCAATCGTAATAACAATGTGTAACGAGTTTTTAAAACAGATACGATTATGCCTATGTCATTAATGGACTATAAATAATATTTACATCAAGTAAATATGCTTGTTTCTAAAACCACCAAAATTACTTAAATGTAAATGTAACATAATCGGAAATCATTTTGTAATATGAACATTGACAATTCAGCCCTTTTTAACGTCCCACTGCTGGGCACGGGCCTCCCTTCAATGCGAGGGGATCAGGCCATAGTCCACCACGCTGGCCAAGTGCGGGTTGGCGGACTGCACGTGACTGTCCTCACGTTGTATTCCTTCACCGTAAGACAAGTGGTAATCATGTTCAAAATGATTCGCACATGAAAATATCAGAGGTGCGAGATTTGAACCCACTTCACTCGGCTTCCCAAGCGAGCGCGTTACCACTGGGCTACCACTGCCTTTTGATATATTGCTGGAAATTATTTCAAAGGAAATTATTTCAAAGAATCTGTACATTAAATATTTTTTGGAAAATCTTATTGAAATAAACAATATTATCGAAACAGAGGCCAAATCTATCGTTTTTAGAATTTTTGTCTATTTGTCTGTCTGTTACCGCATCACAGAAAAACCACTGGAGGGATTTTGATGAAATTTGGTATGGTGATAGCTGGTTATCCGGGTCAACTTTAGGTTAGTTTTTACCGCGGGGAAATGTCTCATTTCTGAGAAATAATACAAAAATCCTATTTTTTTTTCTAAATAAAAGTAAGTAATCCTAAGTTACTATCTTATAACGTCAGCTATCTACCAGTGAAAGCCGTGTCAAAATCAATCCAGCCGTTTCGGAGATTAGCCGGAATAAACAGAAAAACAGACAGACAGAAAAACTTCTCAAAATCTTTTCTCATAATATATAATCAATTACATATGCATTTAGTAAAAAGTTGTAATTTTGATATTTCGAACAGACACTTTAATTTTATTTATCTGTATAGATAATGGACCAAAAATTACTGAGAACAAAAATTAACTAACGTGAAATTTAAGAATCACAAGACTTACTCAGGTTTCCTGCGTAATTTAATTTTAGTTACTATAGAATATAGATGATATAATACTATGGTATTAGTAAATTGACTCTATAGTTTTTTGTATTTTCATATTAATAACAACAAGAATGTATACAGCATATTTTAAGACGTCGCGTGATCGGGAATGTATTTTCCCTCGAAACCCCATAATGTCTTCGCGATGCACGCTAGACACCGCCAGTTACGTAGTGCAAGAGCTAAAAGTAAATAAAATATTAAAAAATAATACGAACTAGTAAATTTGTACGTACGTATAGAATATTTAGGTGTAACAACTGCTACATATCCATACTAATATTATAAATGTGGAAAGTGTGTTTGTTTGTCCTTTTTTCACGTCGAAAGGAGTGACAGATTGGTGTGATTTTTTGTATGTAGGTAGTTGGAGGACTGGAGAGTGACTTAGGCTACATTTTATCGCGGGAGATTACTTAATTCTCACGGGAAAACAGGTTATAATACAATCCAAAAAATATTTATGATCAGAATTACTTGAAACTTGGTATTAATGCTTTTTAATAAAATTAAATTAATTTTTCGAAATTCATCCTATAAGGGGGTAAAATAGGGGATGAAAGTTTGTATGAGACTACCTTTTTAGAGATTTTTTTGTAGTTTTAGCGCGAGTAAAGCCGCGGATTCCGCTAGTACATACATATATCTTCTCTTTTCAAAACAAAAATGAGACAGTTATTTCGATTACATTTAATAGTTAATATTTAAGCCACTTTTGGGTACTTAAAAAAATGGAAATAAAAGTAATTTAGGTTACATTTTTACTAATATTTGATATTTTTTGTAAATTAATTAATAATTATTATTAATAATTAACTCCTACTATCTGGTAAGTATTCATGTTACCAAAAATGTCTTATTACAAAGTAAAAAAACAGGAAATCAAGCAAGTAACTTAGAAGAAACATAAATTATATAATATGTTACTTTAAAAAATATCTTCGACTCTTGGTCTATTCTTCCCAAGGAAACTAAGTTTAAAGCGACACCAATACAATTTCCCGTCCGCAAGACAGGGACAGACACAGGAAATCTCAGCCATTACCAAATCATCGCAATCGAACAAAACTTATTTGAATTTTACAAACTGTGGACGTCATACGTGTTTCCAGAAATAAACTAAAAATGTTTTGTTTCTAAAATTCTACTCTCCTTTAAATAAAGGTACGAGCCGTTTTATTTTTATCGTAACTAAAGTTTCTTGCAAAAAATATTTTTGAGAACTTTTACAATTGTTCTTATTTATATATCAGATTCTTCTCTAATTCTCCAATAGGTTTATTCTTCATGTTTGTTTTTCCGAAAATTAAGAAATATTTAATTGCAAAGTTATCTGGGCGGTGGTCAGAACTGTTGGTGCACTGCAAGGCATGGGCTCGACTAGTTTCTTAAACAAGAAACCGGGTTTTAGAAAAAGCGGTTCTAGCGCAGGCTCGGACAAGGAGATGAATGGGAAATTGAAAAGATCAAAAATAAGGTTTGTTTTTCCAAGTACTTTAATTTTTAATCAGCTTTGTAAAATTAAGTTTGTAATATTATTTAAGTTTTTAGAACTATCTAAACTATAATATTTAGAAAAACAGCATATTAAAGTGTAAGCAAAAGAGAGTTAAATTTTTACTTATATTTTTAAAAACCTTCATGTAGTAACTTTTCGTAAATTCATAGAGTAAATTGTATTAGAAATCGAAACTGTTTATTATAATAATTAACAAGGATCCTTTTTGTTATTTTATATTTGATTCTATTTTCTAGATAAGAATTTACGATATATTGAGAATTAATTTTCAAAAGATAAAATTGTGTATAATCATTAATCAATAACGTTATCAAAGCTTTCTACTGCTTCATAAAAAGTGTTATGCAATCAGAATACACATACCAACTCTTAATTTGCAATAATTTAATTTAAAAATGATAAAGGTACGGGAAATTTTTAAATATCTAAATTAATTAATATATTAGAATACTTACTACTTTTAAATATAGAATTTATAAGTTCTTCAAAGTAATGTAAGTCCGCAACTTCGAGTGCTTCTTAAAAGCTTAAGAGTCCATATTCAGTAGGTGGTTCTGGCTGAGAATATGGTCGCAGCGACCAATTTTTTGTATTATGGTCGTTAAGTGTACTAACTATTCACGCTATTATTGGAGAGCATCGTAATACCCTACAATTTTGAATATCAGCTCTATAATTCAGCAACTCAAAAACAAAATATTTCAAAGAATAAAGCTAACCTAAAACAGTATTCGTGACCGCTTTTGTGTGAAATATGTATAAAAGATGCAACTAATTATAGTTTTAGTAGGTCGAGGTCCAAACACATCCACACAGCCTGAGCTCTGCGATCTACGCGTTTCCTTACAAAACGTAGATCTTGCTAATTGGTTATGAGCTTAATCTATACAGATAAAAAATATATAAGTGTCTGTTTCTAATGTCAAAATAACAGCTCTTTACTAAATACATATGAAAGTATAAACGTTACAATACTTATAAGAAAAAAAAACAAATTTTTAAATTTTTTGTCTGTCTGTTTGTTCCGGCTAATCTCCAAAACGGCTGAACCCATTTCGACGGGACATTCACTAGATAGATAGCTGATTTTATAAGAAGTAACTTAGCCTACTTTCATTTTAGAAAAAGAATTAGGGTTCGCGCAAGAACATTAAAACCCATGAAATGTAAACAAAATCCGCGTACCTAGAGACGCACCCGAGCGAAGCGAGGGTAAGTCGCTAGAGTTAATAAAATTGCGAGAGTAGCTATAAATTCTTATATTTTGAATTAGCATTGCCCGCGGCTCCGCTCGCGTTCAGGTGACCAAAAACCAAATTCTTAGGTTTTACATATTAGTATACTCTTACATTGCAGTTTTTGTATTTTCTCTCAGAAATGAGATATTTGCCAGCGGTAAAAATTATCCTATATGTTGACCCGGATAACCAGCTATCACATATATACCTAATTTCATCAAAATCCTTCCGGTGGGTTTTCTGTGATACGGTAACAGACAGACAGACAAAAATTCTAAAAACTGTAGATTCGGCCTCTGTATCAGTAATAATGTCTATTTTTATAAGATTTTCAAAAAAATATTTAATGTAGGTACAGATTCGGCTTAGTTACAATTTTATTATATGTATTGTTTTTAAATACTTTATCTGCATAATATCTAAGTTCTTGTTTATCATGACAACAGTCGCTATGGCAACCGTGCAATCGATAGCTTGCATAGTATTGGAACCACTCGATCGCTATGCGTCGAACGAACACGACCCTTAGCAAAACTTAATTCAATAAATTTATTTTATAATGTGACTTTGCTCGCAATTACAATGAATTCATTAAATTGTCTTAAATTAAAAATAAAATATTTTCGTTCTTTGTTTTAAAACTTATTATTTTAGTATGTGATAAGTTTCTGAAATGTATAATCCGTACTTTTCGTGTAGGCGACCGGTTAAGATGAACGAGTATGGGATGAAAAGGGTACCAGATTATACCGAGTTGGCCTATAAGGAGGCTGTGTCGAAATTAAGATATTTTCTGTCTGGAAACAGTGCACCCAGTGTAAGTACATTCCTAGATTACTTTTTAAACGATTTAATTATTTTTTTTATACTATAAATAAAAAAAAAGTAACGTTTCTTAATTATAACATTTTTTTCTTTTATTTCATTATCATAAGTAAAGTTAACAACGAATAAATTAAAAATAATATTAATGGGACTTAAAACCTTTAATAATTAAAATATAAGCGAAAATATTTTAGCTCGTCATTATTTTACGCAGTACGTAACTGAACGTCGATTATATTTATTTTATTATTTTATTATTATTTTGCATAGAGATAATTTTATCAGCCAGGTTTATATGCCTACTTTGGTATATCCACTTAAATAAGTGGTTTCCTGATGCCTAAGTTTTGCGAGGATAGCTCTATCAGACATTATAATGATGTAAGTATAGCAGTACAAGTACAAGTAATGGATTTATATATAACTAGCGACTCACCCTCGCTTTGCTCAGGTTCGTCCCTAGGTTGATTTCCCATACAAATATTGATCTCCATTTTCACCTCCTTAAGGAATGATTTTCGAGATAAAAAGTATCCTATGTCCTTCCCAGAGCCTCAAACTATCTTCTTACCAAATTTCATCTAAATCGGTTCAGTAGATCCAGAGATTGGCCCCTACAACCTCACAAACTCACAAACTTTACCTCTTTATAATATTGGTATAGATTAGCATAAACTAATAATAAAATACATTATCTCTGAGTGATATATTATATCAAGTAGTCCCTCTCCTTCTTAACTCCCAATTGACCAAGATAAAAAGTTGTTGCTTTGCAACCTATAAACTATTTTAGAATCAAAAATCGCAAACACTTTAGCGCTTATAATATTTCACAATATTATATTATCTAACACTAGTGACTCTTTATTCGGGTGCATCATAACAGTAGCTATGTGTTTGTTACTCCAGGCCATAGGCCACCTGTGTACTAAATTTTATCCAAATCTATCTAGCCGTTTTAGCACGAAATAGTAACAAGCGTACACACATATGTACCTATATGTACTTACGCGCACACCTAAAACTTTTATATTTACACTACATTTCTCCAGGATAAAAGTAATCTTAGTGCTATCCCGGACTTATCTCTGTGGCTTTCATCCAGATCTGTTCAGACGTTCTAGCGTGAAAGAGTAACAAACATCCATCCATCTATCCTCACAAACGTTCACATTTATAAAATTAGTATGAATGGATAAATTCTTATCCATTGACATGAAAAAGGATGTACAACTCACAAGATAGGCCATCGTGGAAATATTTTGGAGAGTGGAACAGTGGACATGAGATATAATTAGTGTATAAATGATAATTTTTTATACAGGTTCGTAGCTATGGGGGTTCAGCTTCAATCAAGAACCTCGACGATTGCGATGGAGATCTGGATAAAAAATATTCCACCTCCTTTAACACGCTCTCTGAATTCAAGCCACGGCCGAGACTTACTGCGAAGTACACTACACTGTATGCGGATAGCTTGAACAACTATACTCCTCCACAGCCCACTTTGAATACCGGTATGTTCGAAATATTATTTAATTGAGGATAAAATTTTCTGATTTACTGAGACTACTTTGCAATTGAGAAATAACTCAAGTAACCAGGTATCAAAATGTATAAGAATAGATCAATGCCTGCTTATCGAAATCGATTAAAAGAGTCTAAACATGATCGACCTTATCTAATTTTTTAGAGGTTGAGTATCTTACAGATTATTCGAGCATCAGCATTGCAGTAGCTTATCATATCAAAATTCAAGTCGAATAGGCACTATAAAACTTAAAAGTAAAAAAAAAATATTAATTGGAGACTTATCCTAATTATTTTTTACTGTAAAATATACATTAAATATGTTAAATTATACTCTATACTCATTATTCTATCGTCTTCACGTAAGACTACTTCTGTAGAGATAGTCTCATATAATTTACTAGCGTTTTCCTGCAGCTCCGCCCGCATAGTACATTAATCACCAACATATCATATACTAAAACCTTCTCCGAAACACGCTGCATCTTATGGTATGAGTATTATTCTGATCGGTTCAGTAGTTATGGCAGTATAACCGAACAAAAAATCGGCTCTCCATTTATTAGTATAGATTTTAAATCCATTCAGCACCGCCTGCAGCGTCCGCTGATCTCTCCGGTGGTACTAACCCAGATGTCATCAATTTTATCCAAAAACAAGAAGAGTACATTGAACAACTTGAACGGGAAAGTCAGTACTGTAGGGTATGTATTTATCATTGAATGAGTCTTTACATGCATATTTAAGTTAGAGCCCACGCTTGAACATGTTCGCCTTCCTCTAAAAATGACATTATAATTGAATAAAAAGCAAGATTTTTTTTGCTGAATATAAAGCAATATTTTATAGAACCAATTACAACTATATAATGAATGGCCTTTGAGACGTCTAAAACCTCAGTCTCTCCCGTGACCATGATTGCTGTAAAGCATTCGAAACGTCGGAAACCAAAAATCAAAATAAAATTGTCAAATATTCGCGTAAATTTGACGAAGTATTAATAACCAATAGTTACACAAACAATTTAAAATTTTAACTGACAGAAGAAATTTATATTATTTTATATCTATCTAGAATACCATCATATGCTCTTATATTTTAGGACGAATTAAATAATTTACTTGGTAAAGTCAAAGAGGTTATATCGGAAAATGAACATTTGCATGAAGCTCAAAAGAACAAGATAATTTCTCGAATGTTCCACACATACAACGCTGGATCCGAAACTGATGATCTTGATGATATAGGAGATAGTACAGGATTGGATAGCGATAATAAGGTAATATCATAGTATACTGTCGTACGTTTGGCTCAGTTTGTAGTGACCCTACTTGCTGCGCCAGCGGTCGCGGGTTTGAGTCCCGCTGGGGGCATTCATTTGTGTGACAAACACGAATGTTTGTACTCCAGTCATGTGTGTTTAAATTTATAATATGTATGTATTTAAAGTTATATATGTGTAGTGTATTAACTATCTGGTATCCATAACACAAACCTCGTATCTTACCATGGAACTAGATGGTGATGGTGCTGTGAGTTAATGTCCCAACATATTTATTTATTTATCATAGTCTACTAATCCATATAGTGATCTAACGAAGGCATCTAGATACAGTTATGTTTTGGGACGTGTTTGGACGTGTTGTGGGATAGGTATTCCCGACTTTCATACGAACTTTTATAGTATAGAATGATAGTCGGGAAATGGATTTTGGATTGATATTTGATTGGGTTGATAGTTGATTGGAGATGGATGCCTTTTTTTTAACGTTGGGAAATGCATTTACGCACGAGGTGTGGGACTTACCGGCAAAGCCAGTACTACCCACTAAGACCCAACAAAACCTTCCCCTGTCTTAATGGGGCGTCGCAGGATCGCTTACGCATTCAACTACGACGCCCCGACGGCAGGTCTGCCGAAGAAGACCACAACAACCACGGGGTTGCTCCAAGGTCCACTCTGCTATCAGAGTATTTAATTAATTAAAATATTTTTCTTTCATTAACTCTCTTAAAACAATTATAAATAAAATGTATGTAAATTAAATGTCGTAGACAAAAATCTATACAAGCGTAACTTAAAGAAACGACAGAATACGTTTCCCCAATGTATAACGTATAAAGAATTTTATAAAATAAATATAATTTCTAACGTATTATAAATACTTCAATTTCTAAATAAAAAATAATTTAATTTATCTTTTAGATATCGCCATCAAAACCCCGTAGACCAAAATCCCGTTCATCTAAACTCGAAGGACCAAATATCGTCTTCGAATCCCGCATCGCAGAACTAGAGGCTCAGTTGGCTCAAGCTAAAATAGACTTGAAAAAAGTGCAGGTTTGTTTAACCCTCACACTTTAATAATAATAAATACAATTATTAGTGACTTACCCCGGCTTCTCTCGGGTGCGTGCTTAAGTATCTTTTATATTTATTAATTACGTTATAAATATTAAATAAGAATTTCTTATCAATTTATTTCGTGTATCTATCTAAAACGGCTCTAACGATTCGGATCAAATTTTGTATTTAGATAAGGTTTTGCTTTTTAAGTTTATCTACACTGTCTTTTCTGTGATATTGTTTGAAAATGAACATATACATTTCTAAATGAATTATAAAATTATAGGAAGAAAACAACGAAAACAAACGAAAACTCGCCAATGGTCTAGTCGACTCTACTTGCCTCGACGGGTTTAAGCGACAAATTGATAATTTGCAACGGTATTAAAATAAAATGTTTCTTTACATTAATTTTCAAATAATTTACAGTTTATGCACCTTATTAATATCCCAAAATTCACACAAGATGCGAATTTGCCGCCATTTGTGAGGTAAGAGTACGTATTTCCCTGCATGGCCGAGGAACCCATTTGCTGTATTTATTATGCCATACATAGCCCTAGTCTATTTATTGTGTTATATTATACTAGCGACTCTCCCTCGCTCCGCTCGGGTTCGTCCCTACTTACGTTTTAACGTTTAGTATATATTTCTTAGAAATGAGATATTTTTCCGCAGTAAAAAGTATCCTATATGTTGACCCGGATAACCAGCTATCATGATACCAAATTTCATCAAAATCCCTCCAGTGGTTTTTCCGTGATGCGGTAACAGACAGACAGACAAAAATTCCAAAAACTATAGATTCGTCCTCTGTATCGATAATAATGTCTATGTCAATAAGATTTCCACATAAAATATTTAATGTACAGATTCGGCTAAGTTACAATTTTAATATATGTACAGACTTCAATTAAAAAATTGAAAAATAAACTGTGATTTCTAATTAATTTAAATGTGCGTGAATTTGGGACACCTTGTATATTATAACTGGAATTCTTTTTCATCGACATCATCACCATTCATTTTCATTCATTGGCACATTTGCTTTATATAATAAGTCTTACTCATCCAAATGTCATGTCATTGTGAACATCAAAATATCATGCTTCACAAACTAATTTGCTACGTATAAAGAAAAATCACACGTGGTACCTAAAATATTCCATATCTCAATTAATGAAAATATGTCTTTATTTATATTTTATTTAATAATAATTAACAACTTAATTTGACTTCAATATTTTCAGGGATAAAACTACTTTGGAATCCCAAATATCTAAGCTTAAACTAAGCCTGGAGCAAAAAGATGGAGATGTAGAAAATCGTTACAAGAGAGGTTCTGATGCAGTGGAACAGCAGTTGAGAGAAGAAAGAAATAATTTGGAGTTAGAGATCCGCAGATTGAAAGTGATTATTTTTCAGTTGGTTATTTTAAAAAATATTATTTCGTCCCTTTTTTTTGGATTTAGTATCTATCGCCCGTGACCATGTTTGCTGTAAAGGATTCAAAAATAAATTTATATAATAAAATTGTTGTCAAACGAATCTCTTGATATTTTTATAGTAATAGGAGAAATTAAATTAAAATTATATCATATAATTATTAATTTTATATGTTCATGTATAATATATTTATTTAGAGAATGTCTTCTTCCTTTTGCATTTTTTGTATTAATTTCAATATACATATAATATATTCTATTTCTTTTTATACATACTCTCTAAATTTAAATAATATTTCCTTTTTTTTTTAAATATATACTACAACCTACTTTGATTATTTAACAAATAGGATGACCTAGCAAAAGAGAGGTCTAAAGTCCGTGAACTGGCGGGTGAAGGCGCTCGCCGCGCGATACAGGAGCGTAGCGCGGCGGAACAACGCTACAACGCTCACTTCGACGAGCTGCAACACGATTTGGCTGCTCAATACGACAATGCGGCTAAATTACAGGTTATTTATTAGTATACAACTTCCTTAATATTTTGGGTTTTTAATTTAGTGTTTGTACCTACTAAGTATATTCACAGCAAGATATTGACGCTTAAATGTTATTATAGTCATTTTCTTTACTTCTTTCGAGCGCATCAGTAGATGCCTTTTGTATCTATAATATTACTAGCTACTTACCCTCATTGCATTTGGTCAGTCCGTCCAGGTCATAATCTATCTATATACTAAAATTTAACCAAATCTGTCCAGCTGTTTCGGCGTAAAGAAGTAACAAACATAAACTTTAGCATTTATAACAGTCGTGTGACTACCATTTTCTCGTAAATATATTCGGATCTCTGTTAAATTCACAAGCAAGAGGTTATTCGATAGCGAAGATGAGAAAGAACTCATAAGAGTGTATTGAAATAATAATATGTTTTAACAGTTGGAGTTAGAGCGTCAACGTCGTGAAGAGAACGATCTGAAGCGAGAATTGTCCATGAAAAATGCCGCTGTTGAGGAATTGAAGATGGAACTTAAGAATAAATCTGGTATTTCAAACTGTTTTTAAATATTAATAAAAAATCTCACATGTCTTTAAAATACATGTTCTAAAATACTGTTGCCCGATTTCACCAACGTCACCTAAGTTTAAGGGATCCCCTAAGCATGATTAGGGGGCTGTTAGAGGACAGTTTCTGTTTCACCGACAATTAGGGGTCACCTAAATATTAAAAGGCCCCCTAAATTTAGGTGCTCGAAATATGGGCTTAAAGACGATCGTAAAACGAAATTTAATTTAGGTTCTAGTTTAGGGGACTTTTAAGCTAGGGATCCCATACGTAGGTGGTTGCTTATGGGTTGTTGGTGAAATCGGGCATGTATCTTTTAATATGGAGACAATATTGTTTTCTAAGAGCTTTTCCAATAAACTATTTGTTTTATAATTACAGACAGACTTCAAAAATTAATATATTTTATTAGAACATCCCAAGTTAAATAAAACAAGTATAATATACGTCAATCCAAAAAAGGAACGTTTTGGGTTTGGGTGTAGACAGCAAAACTATCCAATCGATATGTATGCTCTTTTGCTCCTTCCAATACCATCATTGTTTTAATATAGACTGCTCGTAGATCCTCAAAATTTAACCGAACGTATAATTAGTTGGGAATAAATAATTGATCTTCAAAACTCCCCTAACTTTTAGGCCTTTTTTTACACCCCTTGATAATTCTTTCGTTCACCACATGTTGACCTACATACGCAATTTTTTTTTCAAAGCGTTTTTTTACAAATACAATTTCATTTTTCATACAATTCGGATGATTTCCGGAATAAAAAATATCCTTTATCCTTCCCAGGGTCTCAAACTATCTTCTTGCCAAATTTCATCTGAATCGGTCCTGTAGGTTTTGAGTTTATTCGTTACAGACTTATAAAAATACAAATCTTTCCTCTTTATATAAAATATAATATAGTACTGTAGATTTGTTTTAATTACTTTTTAGCGTCTCTTCAAGCAGATTTAGCTCAAGCCTATGCTGAAAAGGCATCTTTGGAAGAAGAACTGGCGAGTGCTAGACTGGCTATTGAGAGGCAGCAACGACAATCGAAACATGAATCTAATCGTTTGAACTCTGAAGTGAGTAAATATTATATGCCGTACCCCTTATATTGTAAAAGCCGTGAAATTATAATTTCGCTAGTGAAATTGCCCGGCGTTTTGCCAATCGTCTTCATTTCTTACCATACACGGGACAGTCTTAGTTACATTATAATTTTTGAATAAGTACATTCTATTACAATTTCTCTGTGACATATTCACATATTATACACTATCAACTTTCTCTCGCTTTTCGTAGCCTTTTATATTTATAATGTTATTTACAGATAGGCTATTTCGTTTCTAACTGTAGCCTATTTCTTAGTCTAGAAAAGGAAAACACGTAGACTATTTACCAGTTTTCTTTTCATAGAAACCCGTCCATCCGTTTCACCGTTAATGAGTGACAAACATACACATACTAACTTTTGCATCTGTTATTATAGATAAATGGTGTAAAGTGTGATTGCGTATAAACACTAAAGAGATTATTTTAATTGCAATTTATATCTTAAGGAAAGCATGTGTCTCACAAAATTAAATTAATTAAAAAAAATCTCTTATCTAGATTCAATCTCTTCGTCAACGCTTGGACCGAGCAGATGCAGATCTGGTGCATTCTCGTCGGGAAAATTTGCGTCTTTCAGAACAAATATCTAATCTGGAAAAGGAGGTATAACATTACTTACGTACTGCATGTATATTACAAAAACTTAATAATTAAAAATATAGTGAAAATACATGAAATAATCATAAATAATTGTTATGTGACAATCCCAATAATAATGTTCCAGTTAGTAAAGAACCATGGAAGTATTTATATTATTTTATTTTATTATCGTAGCTTAATATGAAGAACCTGACTCCAATGTCACCAGAAAAGAATAAAAAGGAGAAGGAATTATCAACGATGCTAGAATCCATGGAAAACAAACATGGTAAGTCAATGTCATAACAACCATATATCTGTCTGCATCAAAAGTATCACTTAAACTTATACATTTCTTACTTACTCTAAATTTTGTATCATCTGTTCATCCTAATGGGTAAACTATTGATGTTTTGAAAGACACTTTATAATTACCATCGGACTCCATTTACACTTCAAAACATTTATATTTTACCCTTTCATTATTTGCTTGCATGGTTGTCTAGTTATGAAAGGGCTTCTTTCTTAACCTCAATAGTTTATTCATCAGATTGTTGAACAAAATAAAGCATTTTTTGACTATTCGTAACATTTTCAACTATTACTTAAATTATACATATTAATCGACTTTTTGAAATAAAATTATTTTTAAACGCATTATTTTATGAGATTTTACTTCGTAAGTCAATATTTTCAAATCAGATTTTGTCCTACTAAAGATAAATAATAAAATATTAGTCATATTGTTAAGTAAAAAGATTTTAGTGGATAAATTTGGTTCCGCAGCTAAAACGGTGGCTGATTTGGAGTCAATGATTCAATCACAAAACAGTCTGATGGAGAAACTCTCCAGCGAATGTCGTTTGCTTACAAACAAGCTAGACGACGCAAATCGTAGGCACAAGTACGAAATATTTTCAAATATAACTGCATGTTTAAGTTAATTATCATTTTTAAAGCACAAAATTTTAAATTTTGCAAATTTTGTTATCATTACCCATTATTCAAAATGAAACAAACCATTGTGACCAACGTGAAAATTATGATAGTTATTATAAAAAAAATCAAAATGCTCTTATCACGTTGGTACAATGTCAAATGAAAACATGACGATAAAATATGATTAGCTGATTCTGACGTAATCTAATTCTTAATTGCGAATATTGAAATCAATTTTAAATAAAAGGATGGGTTTAGACTGAGACGAAATGAAAAAATCTTTGAAAGATTTTAGTTAGAAAAAGTAATCATAAAAATTATTATAAGATTAAAATGTTAATACATATTATACTCGCTTGGTGTAAGCCCACAGTTAATTTTCTAACTCTATAAAAATTTTGTGTTGGTCACGAAATGGATGAAAATATATAAATAATAAAGTCGTGCTGTGTTTTTATTGGTGGCAGGCAGAGTGCAGGACGAACCAATCAGAACACAGCGCGACATATCAAGATCTCGAGAATCTCCAATATCGAGCCACAGATCCAAACGCCGCGTAAAAGAGTCCGATTCGTCGAATAACTACCCAATTGTTGTTGGCCCATTAACGACTAATCAGGATCTCACAAACGTTCACGGTGAAAAAATATACAATCTACCGCTAATGATTCAACAGCCCTTTTTACGGGAGAAAAAGGAGCCTATCAAAGTTGATATCAGCGTCAAGTTAATACCAAAACCAAGAAAAAAGGATAAAAAGAGACGGGAAATGCAGGTCGATGAAATTATATCTCCTGATAAGAGTGTTAAAAATAGTATTAGTATGGAAGTTACCGATAGAAATATTCACGTTTTAAGCGAGTCTTTAGAACTTGTCGAAGATAAATGTGAAAAAAAGATTGAAGCTTCAGAACAAGAAAACAATGTTGGTGTTGTAGAAAAGCTGAATGTAGAGAATAATGCGGAAGATTTTGAAATTGTCGTACCTGCAGTTGATCTTGAGGAAGAAAAATCTGAAGTACAAAATAAAGAAACATTTAACGAATCTGTATCAGAATTAAATCAATCGAATAATTTAAATATTAATGCGGCAGAAACTAATGCAAATGTAAATGTTGATGATATTGAATCTAATGATTTTGAGACTGAATCAACAGAGGTTGATCCAAATCAACATTTAGATGAAGAAAAAGTGGAGGAATAAGTGTTTTGTTATATTATTTCTATATATTTAAATTTAGCATATAAATAGCTTCAAAACGCTTTAGGTATTGTGTCGCTTTTTGAAAAAAGTCATATATATCAGTTTTTACAAGTAACATTTTTGAAAATTAACACATATTCGTACATAATTTTGTGCAATATTTAAATTAAATAATTATCGTGCAATATTTTAATATATTTTTTAATATTTCTTATTTATATCTTTAGCAAATTTTATTATCATATTTTATTCATAAAATGTTTAACTTAAGCTTTAATGGGTAATGATTGCAATTTTAAAATTCAATAAACGTTAAAAATAAATTCTGAGTTGATTTTTATTTATATAATTTAATCTAGAGTTACTTTACGAAGACAATTGCCAAACACATTTTTTTTATAAAACTTTTTATTTAGGCTTTTCCACATTTTAAAAATCTAAAAAATCTAGCCACAAAATACTTTTTTTACTACTATCACTAGTTACGTTTTAAATACATATTATACATTAAAACAGTCAAGACAAAAAAGGCAATTGTCCATATAAATTTTTTTCAACACATTAGATTTAACGCTCGTTCACGAGAATCACTTTCTTTCAGAATGGAAAAAACACAGTTGCTTTGCAGAAACTCTGAACTTATGAGAAAACTCAGAAATTTATGGTCTTCTCATAAGAAATACTGCACAACCACTATAGCACCTTATCGAAGTTACACTCCATTAAGTGGATATCCATGTAGCTCATCCTATGATTTAGATCGCACGTACTTGACCTCTACGCCTTATACATTTAGAAATAGATTTAGAAGAACCGATGGATCTAGTTACATTGGTGATAAAGACGATATTGGTAATCTAAGCAGAAACTTAAGTGATCTCTCTATAGATAAAATTTGTGATTCTGACGATGATCATATAAAGGTAAGAATTGAGGATAGCTTTAAAATGTGGCATAAAATGTTTTCGATATATTTATGTATTACACAAAATTTGATTTCTGCTTATAATGTGAAAGCATGCAGTTTTTTCTAAATTTTACTAACTTTATTACACTTATCTAATTGTGCTTTTATGATGTCGACTTGCAATGAAAATTCATAAGTCACTATTACCTAAAATTTTCGATTGAAAATTGGCTTAAGTTCTCCATTTTCCATTTATATCCAACTATTTTGCATGCGTTTGTCGCACTTGAGCGTGTGTGTGTATTCACGTGTGTATGTAACAGGCAAGAACTGGCAACTCTGCAGCGTCAAGTAGAGGGCCTCGGGAAATCCCTCCAATCTACATATTCGCACCAACCTAGTAATTATGAAGGTATTATATAAAATTTCATTATTAGAGAAACTCATTTTTAATCTTAAGATTTTTCCTAGTAAATATGTAACCCTACATCTTATTATAATTATTCAAAGGAGTCCAATAATGGAGATTAATAGTTAAATAAAAGGGATGAAGTAAGATCTAAGTATGTTTAAATGTTTAAAAAAATAATTTATATTTATAAAAACTAATAGGTGTACACAGATTTACAACATGAATATTTTCTTATTTCTTTTTCCAAAATCATTACTACGAAATAAAATATTTTATTAATGATGATTAAAATAAAATTTTTAATATTTTCATTCAGCACCTTCCTCGCACACACCCGCAGCCAACAGAATATCACATTCCCCACCCAGCGCCGGACCAAACTATACCAGAACTGAGTCCCCCAATAACGCCGCACTCAGAGGAAACAGTAACATCCTTAGAGACGACGTTGGAAACTACGAAACGGGAGGAAATGTAAATGAAGAACAAATAAATGGTCAAAATAATGATAGTCAAAATTATTTCCAAGAATCACATGAAGAACAAATTTATGATACTGAAATGAGTCACGATCAACAAAATTATGATTTAAGCCAAAATCAAGAACATTTTGATAACCAATCGGAAAAAGTATCTCAAAATTATGAAACCAATGTAGAACAAGATCAACATAACCTTGATAAAGCTGCAGCACCAGAAGTAACACACACACAAAATCTAGCAGAAAAAGAAGCATTTAATGAAGACCAGCACGTCAATATTGGTAGAAAAATGTCAAAACAAAATTCTCGTGAATCTGTAGATAAAGATCAAACATTACGTAAACAATCATCAAAAGAAAAGATTTCCCCAAAACACTTGCCAGCCGAAGTTAATGATCCAAATAATGAACCTGAATATGATGTGATAGAAGAAAAAACTGATTTGGTAGAAGGGACAGAAAATTTAACAGACGAACAATCAAAAGAACAAGTTGAATATATCGCAGAAACTGAAAAACCTATAGAGGAACAAACAGAGCAATACGAACAAAATTATGATCAGAATTACGAGCAAAATTATGAACAAAATTACGAAGAACCGCAATATACTGAACAGTACGAGAATTATGAACAATATCCTCAACAATACGATCCTAATACACAATACGAGCAATACGGAAACTACCCAGAAGGATATACAGAACAAACGTATGATAACACGCAATATAATCAAGAATACCCCACAGAATATCCCCAAAATGCTCCAGAATCAGAATCTGCTAATGAAAAATTAGCTAGTCAAAGTTAGCATATGATATAAGTCTTTGTTATAATTGAAGTAAATGTTTAGCATTCAGTATCATACACAGATATACAGATATCTTATTTCTTAAAGACAGAAAATTGATACATACTTTAACAACAGAAAATTTTATTTAAACATAAATTTATAACTATTATATAAATTTAATTAATTATGAAAGAATGTATTACTTGTGGTTTGTGAAGCAATTTAAAGAAATGTTAGTAATAGCATTTTCTTATCCATTTTTGGTATAGATTAATAATAAATTAAAAATATTTTAATTTTTCGTGCAATATCAGTTATTATGGCTTAAGTTTAGTGTTTTAGTGCAAAGTTCTTTTAAGCTTTTGATGTTAGAAGATTGCAATAAATTGAATTGCAATTGTTTAGATTTAGGTTTCGTTATCTTATTTCAAATTAGTTGCTTTTTACAAGAATAATATGTTTCTTTGGCATATAACTATTTTATTTCAATGAAGTTTTTTTTTAATTTAGTATGAATCATACTGTTAAAAGTAAATTTAAAAGTACATAACTTTAAACATTCCAATCAAATCTGTTCACTTTATGAGATTATTAATAAATCAATAGTAATTTTTGCTCAGTATAATAGAATTTATAGCAGAAACACTGTGTTTTATTTCCATATCTAAGTACTAATCTGTATGATTTGTACCTATATCTTATACCATATGGATTTAATTTTTGACGCGAGAGGCGATTGATGTAAAGCGAAAGTGCTCAAAGTGGGGTCAATTTTTTCAAAAAACTTTTTATCACATCTATTTTCCTGTATCTGTGCCTCGTTTTCGTAATGACTTGTAACCCATATTACCAACTCCCAATCGAATCCTTAATACATACATGTCTTCTCCATTCTACGCGACATTGGCGAAGTAATCTATGCTCAACTGCCACGCTTTGAATACACCACACATTAGGTGTATTCAATTCTCTTGTTAACAAAAAACTCGGATATATTTTTACTATTAAAGCTCCATATGGTATACCTTTTAAAACCACTGCAATATTATTCAAGTAGGTATCGGAATAGTATTCTAAATCTATATGTACATAAAATGCTTTGTCCTGACTGATTGACTGATCGATCAACGCACAGCCTAAACTGCTGGTCGTAGAAACGTGAAATTTAGAGGACATATTCCTTATACAATGCAGACGAATATTTTATCTTTGCGGGGCCCCGTGAGGCTGGGGGCCCTGGGCCGATGCCCTGTGTTCCCTTATGGTAAAGACGGTACTGCTACCAGCTCAATAAGGCTGATATGTCTCTAGTAGTTAAACATATGCATATGATCACAAGTATGTGTGCGTTAAGTGTAAATTAAAATTAATAAAGGATTAATTTTAATTACGGATATAATTTTTTACCTATTTTATGGCTATTATCAGCCATAAAAATAATTATTTATCCGTGAAACATCGATTAAGTTCAGCTTTAAAAAACAATAATTAGCACATTGTTGACCCGACCGAGAATAATTGACTTTCACATGCGCTTCAGTGCGGTTCAATTTAGAATGAATGCTTGGTGCAAAATGTTATTCTTTATTTCTTTATTATTATTAAATGAGCTGCCTTCTTTTACAAATGCGGTAAGTTCATTTACAATTAAAAAACATTCTCGCAACACTACATAAAAAGTGCAATTTATTTTACAAAATTAAAAATTAAATTATAATTAGGTCGGATTTAACTTTGTTTCTGATGTTAGTATTAACTGTTTAGAAAACAAATGACGATGAAATGGGGGTGAGTAATCTATTTAAGCAAAGAAGAGCAATTTAAAGTTTTATTTTTTCTTAATAATTAATATGCTAAACCAGACACAATTTTCTACTTTCATTAACATGATCTAAGTCTAAAACAATTCTTGCTTGATATACTAAAATTTAAAGTCTATTTCTCCCTTCTCACGCATTTTCAAAGAATGAATACCTACAAGAAATATGGCACCTAGTATTGCATCAATTTTGCCAAACACATTGTGAATCACATCCAGCATTGCATCAAAAACATATTTTGTCTGTATGTCAATGATTTCACATTATTCAATACAAAATCCTATCTCATCATCATCACCTTCCTACCCATTTCCCAAATTACTTCTACACCTACAGGGGGAGATGGCCCAATGGTAGCCCTATTCTAAGCTAAGCGCAACAGGGCCAAAATTTTGTGTCATAGAATCCGATTCGCAGTTAAACAATTTTACATCTTTAGGTAAAACCATTAGAACCAGCGAAGCAAGTAAGTAATATGATTAAATTAATTAATTTTTCTAATCGTTTTCAAAAACGAAGTTCGAAATTGGGCTCTAATTTTTTATTAATTTTTTGAATGTATTTTACACCATATATTCGCAAATTGTTAACCAATTTTCATAATTTACTTTAATGAATAGATTAATTAGCACAATAGGTTACAAAAATCCATACTAATATAATAAATGTGAAAGTGTGTTTGTTTGTTTGTTTGTCTTTCTTTCATGGCGAAACGGCTTGGCGGATTGGCATGATTTTTTGTGTGGAGGTAGTTGGAGGGCTGGAGAGTGACATAGGCTACTTTTTACCGCGGGAAATTATCTCTTTCCCACGGTAAAACTTGGTATATATTATGCTCTTCAATAAAATTAAATAAATACGTGTCTTAGTATTTTTCAAAATTCATCCTATAAGTGTGTAAAATAGGGGATGAAAGTTTGTATGAAACTACCTTTTTAGAGATTTTTGTAGTTTTACTGCGAGCGTAGCCGCGGGTTATGCTAGTTTCATATAAATCAGTCCTATACAAATTCAACATAAAAATCCATTCTTAGGCCATGAAGTAGAATAATAGATTTTAATTTTAAGAAAATTTGAAACAGTGTACTTTATAAGTTAATAAATTGTGTTAATGTTAAAACATTCACCTAAATACCACGAAAGTTATTCCACTTATTAGGTACTCCTACATTGGTTTCTAAAAAAATAATTTAAGTCAGAATAAATTGCCGAATGTTCAATACAGTGAAATTAAATAATAAATAAGTAAAATCTTTTAGAATTATTAAGTTTAAAGAATTAGATCAACAGAAGAAATACTAAAACTTAAATTTAATATATTGGTTATCCCTATAGAGTTCCACAGATTCCGTAGCCTTATTGAATATGAAAAGCCCAGGGAACAGAACATCAGTCTCGAAGTCAAGTGCACACGGTAAATCGTCTGCCCAAGTCCCTTACAATATGATGGCGCGGGTCAACGACGAAGATAATATAAATTTAAAGGACTCTTCGGAAAAGTCATATCCAGATAACAGGGCGAATGATGTTAAGCTTTCTAATAAAGAAATAATAGATAAAATATTAAATTTAATCTTGAAAAATAAACAAGGTCATGTAAAAGAAAAATTAACTTATGGGAACCAACTTCAGGCAAATGAATTAAACAGCCATCATCATCATTCAAATATAGGTTTTGGTATTGATGAAGATTGGCTTCCTTACTCTCCTCAAGGACTCGATAAGGTATTATTAATAAAACATAAATTAAAACTTTTAAAAACCCACGACGTACATATTAAGTAGTATGTGCCAGTACCTTTATTGTTAATTAATGTGGGTGTGGAACATGAGTAGCGTCCCCTGGTGTTCTGTAACATTATAAAACTTAGCTAACAATATGCTCGGGAATGAGACTTATACAAAGCAAAAAACCGCTTAAAATAGGCCTAGCCGTTTTCGAGAAAAATGGTAACAGATGGTAACAGAGGTGTGTGTGACACGAAGTTTAAAACTCGCAAGTCACAAGATAAATTTCAATTAGTAATTCCAATAGGTAATGATAAAATAATGATAATTCAAACCAAATCACTGAGCACGGGCCTAAACTCTATGCAAGGGAGGCCAAGAATCAGGCCCTTAGCTAAATACCGCATTGTCCACAACTACTCAGTCCACTGTCCACTACGTCTTTTAAAAGGTGATAATAAGGTTTTCTTAGACGAGCAGATTTCCTCAAAATATTATTCTTCACTAGTGTAATAGAAAATTGTGATCGTGTTGAAAAATGATACGAATATGAAAATCTAAGAGGTGCTAGAACCAGTTTGAATTCACTTTCCTTGTTGTTATTTGTAATCAATGTAATAATTTCTATATTGGTCACTGGTCACTAATTTAATTAATTGGTGTTAGGACAAAAAACATTAAAATTACTTAACTTCTTTTAATTTTCAGCCAGGCCTCTACGCTATGAAGGTAAATGGTTTATATACAAATTAATGTAACTATCTGTTTTCAAAATTACCTACTTAAATTACATTTTTAATACATTTTAAGCTTAGTTTGTAAGTATTTAAAATTTTAAATACTTATACACTACCAAAACACCGTTAAAATATATTTGACCCAGAAACGACAAACGATTGTACAGAAGTTAGAAAGCGAGTAGTATATTATATACATTTCATATAAAATATCAGAAAAAAGGATTCTATTGGTTTCTTGAGGTTTTTGACACAGGGCAGGAAATCAAAAATAAAAAATAAGAAGAAAATAAGAAGAGATAATCTGTTGATAGCTCAAAACTCTTAGACCAATTATGATGTTAGAATAATGAAGATATAAATTCAAAATTATATTATTTTAAATAAATAATTATTTTATTTTTATGAAATATTATCTTAATAATTTTTAATTTACATTTATAGTTGCCGATAAAAGCAATACAGGTGAGAGTTAAACTTCATAAATAAAGCTTTAGTTAAATGTAATATCCTCCAACTACTTATCCTCCAACGGAATATATATCATCTCACTGAAAGCTGAAACTAGGCAGCGTAGATAAAATTATAGTGCTCTAATACATATTGTATAGGCTTTACGTGTTCAACGAATATGGCCCGATCTAGTACTATATATATAAGAGATAAATCTGAAGTACCTATATTAATTATTATGTTAATTTATTAACCAAGAATTTATTACCATTTATAATTTTATTTTTCAGACTCCGCGTGGTGGAATTCTTGGGGTAATTATAAAACATTACTGCTTCATATTTTAGTAACATCTTTAAATATATTAAAATTGTAACTAAGCCGAATCTGTACATTAAATATTTTTTGGAAAATCTTATTGAAATGGACATTATTATCGATACAGAGGCCGAATCTATAGTTTTTAGAATTTTTGTCTGTCTGTCTGTTACTGCATCACGGAACAACCACTGGAGAGATTTTGATGAAATTTGGTATGATGATAGCTGGTTATCCGGATCAACATATAGGATACTTTTTACTGCGGGAAAATATCTCATCTCTGAGAAATCTAAACTAAACGTTAAAACGTAAGTACGGACGAACCCGAGCGGGGCGAAGGCGAGTCGCTAGTAGATGAATAAATCTAAAGCAGATGCCGCCAATATTTACATTTTACCTTATTTTTTACCTTATTTTTGTTTCAGAAACTACAGTTTCATTTTGTAAGTTGTAAAATTTTAATTCAACGCGTATATATATTTTCAAAATATAAATTATAATAAATAATTCTTTGTTTTCAGGCTCCTCTTCATAAGCATATAGAACCATAGATATATAAATAAAACATTTTTAAAAGTACTTGGGTTTCAATTAACTAATCAGAATACTAAAGTAAATTGGACAACTGGTAAAAAGACAGTGGTTGGTGCTAAATTTGTATTTTATATACGCTCACTCGCGACTCGCGACTCAAGCTTAACTTTCGTGTATACTTTGGCGCATTTTATAAACTGCATTACGATTTACCAGCTTCTCAAAACGTTACGCTTATTTGAACCTATCATCCATTATATTTTTAAATTCGTATTTGCACACCATATAATTAGCAGTTAATTCAGAAAATTTATTTATTTGTAGAATAAACATAATATAATAACTTGTTTGATTATTTCATGCATTCAAGTTTTTGCTAATCGCGGTATTTCTCAATTCTCACGTTGAATCGAGTTTTAAGGAAATCGATTTTAAACGAATTCTAAACATTTGATTTCTGAACGATTAAACTTATGTTTGACATTTTACCTTGCATCGAATATTGATCATCTGTGGTCTTTATGTTTGATAACAAACCCAACCTAAATAGGTAATTGTTCTATCTGAATTCTGGAATATATTATTTAAAGTTAAAATAAATAATTTAAAATGGTATGTGATAAATGTGAAAAGAAATTGGGCCGTGTCATAACACCTGATCCATGGAAAACCGGTGCACGGAACACTGTAGAATCTGGCGGCAGAAAAGTTGGTGAAAATAAAGCTCTTACTGCAAAAAAGGGTCGATATAATCCCTATACATCAAAGTTTTATGAGTGCAAGTGAGTAAATATACTTTATACTTAAAATAAAGTTTAGTTTACTTAAAATTAAGTTTATACTTAAACTAAAGTTTAAAACTATTTAATAAAATAGTTTTAAACTTTATTTTAAAAATAACAATGATACTGTCAATTAAATATTTCTATTTAGTAACTTTACGTGATGTAAATTATCTGTGTAACATTGTATAAATATTGAAATTTTCTGTAATATGTATGCAGTGTGGATTATTTCCTCCTTTTTTTATATACTTTTTTACATTATTTTAAATAATGTTTTAGGATATGCCGCACCAAAGTTCACCAAGTTGGATCTCACTATTGTCAAGCTTGTGCATATAAAAAAGGAATTTGTGCAATGTGTGGAAAGAAAATATTAGATACATCAAATTATAGACAAAGCTCTACATAATATTAAGGATAGATAAACTAAATGAATATTTTACCTGTTATCAATTTTATATTTATATGTAAAAACTCCAATTCCACATTCAATTTTATAATAAAAGTAGATAAATATATTACATTTTTCTCACAAAATTATATTTTATTAATAATACACAAGATTATATTACTTGTGACTTAACTTTATAAACTATAGTATACTTTTATACCATACAATAAATTATTTTAGCATAAATTAATTAATTAATAATAATACTGGTAGTATAATAATTATTGTCTTTAAGTGAAAGTATATCTCAAGTCCTATTAAATGTTGCTCACTCACAATGATTATCTTAGTACTGAAAAGTTAGTAGTTTTCAGTATGATAATGGTTAGAGTTTCTTCCGTGACCATGATTACTGTAAAGCATTTGATATATATATCAGGAAACAAAAATCAAATAAATCTTTATAAAAATCCAAAAAAAAAACAAGATCATCATGTCATCTGGATGAAATTTGGCACAGAGATGGATTATAGCCTGAAGTAACACATATAGGTTACTTTTTATCCTGGAAAAATGTACGGATATGGGATAGATTTTTTTCTTATTTTTCATAGAGCAAGGCATTGACTATCTATTCCATACTAACCGTTAAAATTTACCTAGGAATGAACCCGAGCAAAGTGAGGATAAGTGAGGTATTCGCATAAATCTAAGAAAGTATTACTGAACACTGAAAAGTAATGTCCAACATTTTATTTCATTTATCCATTTGGTTTGCACTTTTGCTATCAATGTGTCAGATCTTGTTTCCAATACCCTTACAAGACAAAGTTGTGATTTTTATTATTCTTTAACTCAATCTTAAAGAATGAAAAATTCAAAACAAACTTATATTACCCTAAATGTGAAACAAAATTGTGTAAAGTAAATAAATCTTAGATAGATTTTGACGACACATTTGGTTCAGTATGTAGTGTGTGTACTTACTTACCAACATATTTATTTATTATTTTTAAAACTGATGTATATTTTAATTAATATACTTTGAATTGAAAAATAATGATAATGCATTGTACAAATAAATTTAAGTAAATAGTTAAGTATGTTTTTGTATTTATAAGTACTAGTTTGTACGAGTACTTAGTAAAAATAAAATGTTGATACATTATAATTCTGTTTTTTTTCTATAACAGTATTTTAGAAATTTTGATGAAAATATATGTAGCTGCTAAGCAAAAGTATTTCCAAAAGTGTAATTTATTTATTTGTTCATTAAAGGGAATTGGTTATCCCTAAAATATACATTAGTTTAGTATGGTACTAATATGCTAATGTTCTTTTAATTATAGGTTATAAGTTATAACTCGCGTCATCTAAAAAGAACGCTGAGCACTGCAAACAATTACCAACACAGAAGCCCTCCATCCCCTGGCCGTCGAGGCGAGGGGCCACCTGAGGAGGGCCTTGCTCCAGAATAAACAGGTTAGTTTATTCTGGATCAAGGCCCACGCAGGCCTAGAAGGGAACGAGCGAGCCGACGTTTTGGCCAAGGAAGCCGCGCTAAAATTGAAGCGTGCCCCCGATTACGACAGCTGCCCGGTTTCATTCATCAAGCGGAGCATTCGCATGCGATCGCTTGATGAATGGAACCAGCGATACCAATATGGCGAGACCGCTAGCGTAACGAAGACGTTCTTCCCGGACGCGACGGCGGCATATAAGATAGTTGGCAAGATGGAGGTGGACAGGCTCGTCACCCAGATGTTGACGGGGCACGGCGGATTCTCCGAGTACTTGCATCGCTTCAAGTGCAAGGAGAGTCCGTCGTGCGTCTGCGACCCTGGATGTCCAGAGTCTGCCCTCCACGTTCTTTTAGAGTGCCCGGTACACGATAGAGACAGATATTATTTAGAAGCACAAATCGGACTAAAACTAGATAAAAATGCACTACCAAAAATTATGAAAGAGATAAATTCCTGCAATACTGTAAAAAATTATGTAAAACTGTAAACAATAGAAATAAGAGTTAGTAATAATATGTTAAACAAATATAGTATAGTATATTAGTGGTAACATATATAATGTATAGTGTATAAAAAGGATAAGTCTAATAATAAGAGCATATATAAATAAGCCTAAACTATAAATAAAAATTACCGACTACCCCCAATTATTATCCCCGTGTTACATAGTATAAGAACAAAGAAACTAAATAAAATAGATAGATAGATAGTTAGGAACGAATGCGGATGAATGATAGAAAGACATAGTATGCGGAATGAAAGTGCGAGAAGCATAAAAGCGAGAACTGGTATGAAAGAAGTAGAAAACACAGACTCCTTCCCCCATGTTGGAGGCTCAGGAAAAAAAAAAAAAAAAGAACGCTGGCTGTCAAGCTGCGCAGAAGCGAATTATGAGTCAAATTGGTGGTAAGAGGTGGGGTGCGGGGCGGCCCAAGGCGGTGGGGCGCGCGCCGCGTGCTTGCCGGCGCGCTATTGGTTCGTCAGTTTGAAATACCATCGCGCACACAAAAGTTTTTAATTACGAAATGGTTTTATATATAGAAAAGAAAAAAATATTTTTGACGTATATTATTTTACAAAGAGAGAGTCTGATAATAATGCAGTTAATAATTTAAAAAATGTATTAAACGTATTAATTTAATTTTTTGTAAGTAGATTAAACTTTCTACACTGAATCACACATATTTTAATAATGAATAGAATTCTATTTAATGATATTCTATCTAATATATTTTTCAATGTCCCTACCAATAACTAATATATGAAGCCGGGAGCGAAATGCTATGAAAAATAAAATAATAGGCTTAGTACTTTTGTGCGCGAGTATACCCATGCGCAAACATACCCTCTCCCCTTTCATCCAGCATTCTTTTTAGATGACGCGAGTTATATCTAAACATGCACTATCACCTAAGTAACATTAATGAATTTTAAAATAATTTAATTAAAGAACAAAATTAAAAAAATAATAATAAGTAATAGATAATTCAAATTACACAATTTAAAGTATTCTGATTTGATTTGAAATAATTCAAACTTAATAAGGTAAGTAATAACTAAACATCGAAGTAATGCTCATCTAAAAAGTAATAAAGAAATGGAATAAAAGAAAATAATTGAAAAATCACAATTATAAGCTAAGTTAAACACAGATTTAGAAATACGAAAGAAAACATTACAATGTTTTATAATTGTATGAACACCGTTTTATTATTTCTAGTAAGTTTCTATACTAGTAACCCGTCGACGCTGCGCTCGGGCCCTAAATACCCCGTCCCACTAAGAACCTCCGAGGTTTTACTTTCTCGAGGAATTCAAATTATTAGTTCCAATACCAGGTTATCAAATGTATATTAAATTAACAATAAAACAGATAATCTACTTACTTCCATATCTATACTAATATTAACAATGGTATCCTTAAAACAATAAGTAGAAAATATCCAACTCCTACGGGAAATTGCGTTACAATAAAATTACCACGAAAGAGACACAGTTAAGCAAACTTCTCTTCCGCTTCGGCTGTAAAGGGGACGAAGAACATCTTTAAGAAAGCTTTCCCTTTCAATAGGGTGAGACTTATTGCTTGAGGGAACTAAATGAAGAAACGTTCTATGCTCGTTCCTACTAGAAAGCGATGAAGCTGTAGGTACTTATAAATAACTAGCGACTCACCCTCGCTTCGCTCGGATTCGTCCCTAGCTTCCTGATACAAAACTTTCATCCCCATTTTCACCCCCTTAAGGGATGATTTCTGGGATAAAATGGTTATAGATATTACGCTTTTATTTTACAAGTTAATACTATAACTTATACGGGGCCAAATAAACTCACAGACATAATAAAATAAATACCTGAAGCCTGCTTAAAATACTTACTTAAAATGATGATGATGATATTCTCCTGACCGATTCCGGCCACGGTAGCCAATCTCATTGAGACTAACCTACTGTGCAGGAGATATTATAGTGCACAAGTGTACGCGCAGACTCAGGTGCACTCTCTATTCCTGTTGCTCTCATAGTCTGGTGGGACGACACGAGACACGACCGGTGAGAGTTAACGCGCAACACCGACGGCTTTACGTGCTGGCATCAAAAATAAAGTCAATTCTTAGCGCTTCAAATTTGGTGACCATTTGCAACATTTTCTTAGAAATGCCTCCCAACTTGTTTGGAACATTTTTCATGGTGTGTAATAAATGCTATGCTAGCAGTCTGATAAATCATCTAATTATTACCGAAGTATTGTATATAAAAATAAGCTTTTATACTATAACGTAAGTAGAATTATGATTTCATGAAAAGGGTTTATGGCAAGGGTTTGCCACGATGTTAAGTGTCTGGCATTGAATGACGTGATTTTTAATAATATTCTGAAGGTAATACCAAAAAATCACACTTTATTATTTGACGAATTTAGACCGGTATTTTACACACCTTTAGTACCGTGTACCTGCCAAAGCCACCATAGCCTGAACTTCATATTTCATAATGGTCCATCGTTCTTATCTGTGCTGGGAGCATGCGCTGACAAACTTTCAGCCTTTATAAAATGACGAAGGTCTGGCGTTCATGGGCTCTTCCTCTATTATGTAATTTGGCCATGAGCTTGTTGCTTGTTGTGCTCATAGGTTTACTTTAATAAGTAGGTACCTAACTTTGAAATTTTATATGTTGCCTCAAATATCTCATGTAGTCTTAGTGTCTTTCGCCCAAAATGAATTTAAAATCATTACAAATTTGGTCTGTAACAATGTCTGAGACGATCAATCGTATTAAAAAAAAAACAAAATTAAACTACACAAAAAATGCTATATTTTTGAAAACATTTTAAATAAAATTGTCTTTACAGATTGTTTTGCGGATTTATTTTGATTTTTCGTCCCCTACTTCCCGTAATTGTTGAAACTTCGGGAACCAAATATCAAAAAATCCGATAAAATAGTTTTATTTAAAATAAATCTAAGAAAGTAGGTACACTTTGTCCTTTCACTAAGCTTTCCTACATTTTAATAAAAGGTGAAAAAATCATGCGAAATATATATCCATATTGTTATGCACGCAAATCTTGTATTTAAATTTAACAATGTGATGGTTTACTTGGTTGAAATATCAAGCCATTTGTTTTAAAATCGTAAATAAAAAACTTTTATGTTGGTTTTACATATTTTTTCACATCAGCAGTAAGTTCGTCACTTATAAAGAAAAAATGATTAAATCGATAAGAGAAAAACATGACCAGCAGGTTTTACTAATTTAAAGAAACATTCCAAAATGATTTCAATCAGTCATTATAGTTTGATTTTACTCGTGGTAAGAACTTACTGTATTTTTTTACATTTTTCACAGAAATATCTTATAGGTATTTCTTATATACCTATAAGATATTTCTTATATTCGGACACCTATATAGGAGTCCGACCTATATACCTATAAGCTATTTACCTATATACCTATAATTAGTAAAAATCATACAAACTTTCGTATTTATCATAATAGTCCAGGTATAATATAGGCTTTATTATTATTAATATTTTTACCTAAAAATATTGTTGCCCAACGTGGGGCATGTGTTTAATAATAGTCCACACTGGGCACCAGAAAAATAGTAGCACAAAAAATTGGAACTCATACGATTTTATCCATAGTTTTACTACGTACTAGCAGTAATTTATATCTATACATATAATAAAATTCTACCTGTGTCGAATCTGTACATTAAATATTTTTTGGAAAATCTTATTTAAATAGTAATTATTATCGATACAGAGGCTGAATCTAAGGTTTTTAGAATTTTTATCTGTCTCTCTGTCTGTCTGTCTCTCTGTCTGTCTGCATGTCTGCCTTTCTGTCTGTTACCGCATCACGAGAAAACACACGAGAAAACATATAGGATCTTACCACGGGAAAATATCTGATTCCTGAAAAAAATATGCAAAAACTGAAATGTAATAAGCATACTAATCTGTAAAATTTAAGAATTTGGTTTTTGGTCATCCGAACGCGGGTGGAGCCGCGGGCAATGCTAGTTTTTATATAATTCTAAATCACACAGTTGATTATTAAAATAAAATACGAATTTAATTTTTAATAATCATATAAAATAGCTTTTAATAATAATCCTAACCTACTAATATTATAAATTTATGTTTTTCTCAATATATTCTTATAATACTGCAACTGTAGTAGTTTTAGTGTATTTTTTAGTCAGGTTACTTTCCAAAAACACTTAATATACGATACAATTTATTAATTTAATGGATTTGAATTTATTCATAGTATTTTGGTTTTGAACTGAATCATCAAAATCGGTTAAGCCGTTTACCTAATATTATTCCGAATGAATATAAGATCGGACATACATACATACAGGTCAAACACATGACCTTTCTTAGAGCCTCACCGCAGTCTGGTGAAAAATCAATAGTAAAAGCTTTGGGAAAACTTTAATACTAAAATAAAAATACTCTTTCGTTTTTTGTAACTTCTTCTTTTTAATTATAATTTAATTACCATTTCATTAAAATACCTACATTTGACTTAAAAGTTATGACCCGTGCATATTCAATTAAAAAAAGCAAACATGCAAGTAATACAAAGTCATTTTTGTTCAAGTTTTAAATTATTGTATTGTGAGTAAATAAAAATGTTCAAGATAAATATTGTTAGAACTATCGGACCTTCCATACTAATATTATATATGTGAAAGTTTGTGAGGATGGATGAATGGATGTTTGTTACTCTTTAACGCCAGAACGGCTTAACGGATGAAATTTGGCACAGTGATAGTTTATAGTCTGGAATAGCACATAGGTTACTTTTTATCTTATTATTGACGACACGTTTGGCTCAGTTTGTAGTGACCCTACTTGCGGTGGCAGCGGTCGCGGGTTCGAGTCCCGCTGGGGGCATTCATTTGTGTGATGAGCACGAATATTTGTACTCCAGTCATGGGTGTTGATATTTATAATACGTATGTATTTAAAAAAGTTATATGTAGTGTATGAACTATCTGGTATCCATAACATAAGCCTCGTAGCTTACCATGGAACTAGATAGTGCTGTGTGTTTAATGTCCCAAGGTATTTATATTTATCCTGGAAAAATGTACAGTTTCCGGGGGATAGGCTACTGTTAGGCACCTTTTTTTTTAACGTTGGGAAATGCATTTACGCACGACGTGTGGGACTCACCGGCGTAATACAGCCAGTACTACCCACTAAAACCCAACAAAACCTTCCCCCGTCTTAATGGGGCGTCGCAGGATCGCTTACGCATTCAACTACGACGCCCCGACGGCAGGTCTGCCGAAGCAGACCACCACAACCATGGGGTTGCTCCAAGGTCCACTCTGCTATTAGAGAAGTACCAGGAGCAACCCGCAAGGTACACCGGCCCCCGAAGAGGGCCACCTCCCACCGCCCACCGAAGTGGGCAACCTCCCTGTGCGTTTCTTAGCTTCGCTACTACTACTGAGCCCCCCCACCACGACAAGCACCTAGGGACACTCCAGAAGCACGTGAGGATTGAGAGTAAGTCAACAAGTAAGTAAGACAAGCAATATAACATGAACATTGTGTCAATTGAATAGATCATAAGTGAAATTCCAGCACGTGAATGTTGGAATTAATTATTTGGTCAAACTTACACTAAGCAGTACCGATTGAATCTAAAAAGGTATTCTATTATAGATCAGTCTATTGTCTAGTATCTAGATACACATTTTTATTATGACTATCTTATACATATACTGTTACAGTGAGAGATTTTAGATTATACCATTTACAATTGTAAATAACATAATAAATAAATTTTAGAGTGCTTCACTATCGAACATATATTCAATCAGAGATGTTGATTTAAGAGAATCAAATGAAATGGAGAAAAGTGATATAATATTGTTATTTCATCCAGTACGCATTATTTTTAATTTCTAAAATTACTTTAATTTAACTAAAATAAACACAGGTCTATTTTGGGCTTCCTCATTACGTAAAAAACCCACTGTAATATTGGCAATGGCAGAGCCGTGGTTATAATGCTGATCTCTATATCAGAAAATGTTTCTTCACAAAGAAGTAAATTTTTATTATAGATAAAAAAAGTACAAGTAGACACACAATCCCATGCAAAAGTTCTCTTAAAACTGTCTCCAGTTGTTTAGGTTAATTATTCTAGTTGAAATAAATATACAACAATGTAAATTGAATCTTAAAAGCAGTGCTTAAAGTTGTTTTCACAAAAAAAAATTAAAAGCGCGCTCAAATGTTCAAATGAGCGTTCATTCGGTGAGGACATTTTTTGTCGCTAATTGTGTATCTAGTAATTTTTTTATCGATGATTTTTAACTGCATTTTCGTAGTTCTAATCTTTCTTTTTGGACCTTCTATACTCGATACTAAATATTACCTACTAAATCTTTTGAAGGGCTTAAAAACAAAAGAACGATATTTAATAAATTGTATATACATATATTTATAAGGGAAATAATAAGATAATGTATTTTTTCTATTTTAATTTAATAACATAATACTATTTTATAGAATTTATTGCGAAACAGAATGTCCATTCCAATTAATAAGGAAAATAACCAACCAAACACTGAACATCGCGCTGACGATGAAATGTCAATAGGTGATCTTGACTTAAATCAGAAACAAAAAGAAATATTACGAAAAAGATGGCGAAGTTCCTGTGATAGAAAAGCCTCAAAAGTTTGTATAAAAGCTTGCAAGAGTGCATATAAAATAGTCTGCGGTTCGTACAAATGTAAGAAAGCAATGAAAAGAAGTTTTAGAAGAGAGTGTAAGAGTAATTGTGAAGCTAAATTTGTATCATCTAAGTATTATAGTGATAGTGAATGATTTTATTACTTCTAAATAATCTCTTTGATCGGATGTTTCTAAATTAAATATGAATTTTGAATTCTTTAATTTGTTTTATTTTTTATAATTAATTCCAATTAACTTCTTAGTTGATGACATCTTTACCAACTAAAAATAAATGTTAATATCTTTTAGTTTTATTATTAATCTACATGTAAAAATAAATTTCATTAATGTTTCCTCAATGTAACTAACTAGGTTAAAGAAAACAACAGTAACATTAAAATTTGTCTTTATTATAATATAATACATCAATAAAATACAATTTGTATAATTGTGATAACTTGTTAATGCGATATTTGTAACATTATACTTAATCAACAAACAGACAGTCACGAAACACTACATACAAAATATTTATTTAGTACAAACACGCGAACAGACGACTTCTACGGCTATAAATCAATTAATAAAATATAAAATATGATAAATAATTGAAATGAAATTAAAATCAATTTCATTATAATCTCTTACAGTACTACTAAGTACAGATAAAATATATTTATTTATGAAAAAAAAAACATATTTGAAAACTTTTACAGATTATAAAAGTCACGAGGCATAGACATAAAGCTTCTTTTAAAAAAAAAGAAAAACTGTCTAAGACGTTATTTTAAGTACATTTAGTAATAATAATTATAAGTACTTGATTGGATAATTTTTGATTTTAAATAAAAATGGAAGACTAACAAATTAGTAAAAATATTGTAATTAATTAATTATTAATTAATCAATATTGTGTTATTATTGGAATGTTATTCTTATGCTTTTAAATATTATAATATGGTAATACTTTTCGGACGGAAAGTCGATAACAGGTTTTAATATGTTAACTAACATTGTATTAAAAAAGAAACCCTACATTTAGAAAAATCTTTCTTAAAACTGCGATAATAATAAGGGAATGTTTTTTTTTATTTAAATTAATAAACTCAATAATAGCAATTAGATTTGTGTATACATTTATGTATTTAATGTTAAAAGTTAAATAATTTTATATAATATTCAAACGACCCCTTGATCTTGGATTTCATTTATTCTAGCACTAATTCATTATACTTCATATTTTTTATCTGTATTTTTATAATTCGAATTGTGACGTTTTCTTAATCTAACTACATTCTCACAACCTAAAACATGAATTTATAAAAAAAAATAAATTTATAAGGCACTTTTTTGACATAAGCAAATAATTTATAGGCACTTACGTCGCTCATAAAAATCTCAAAGCGATAATTAACTTCATAATAATAGTTTGGTTATTTTAGGAAGAATTCCGATATGATATTGTTATTTAATATATTCGGTAATTGATTTTTCATATAGATAAATTATAAAATCGATATTAATAAATATCCTTTGGTGAAGTTACATAGAGAAAAAAACGAATCGATAGCACAGATAATAAAATGACAGATATATGAAATAGATATACAATATGTAAAATGAAATAAATATTGGTATTTACTAGTGAATCGCTTGCTATCGAAGATCTTCCTATAATAATCTATCAACCAGGCCTATATCTTATAAGTAAATACTTCAATATATAACAAACTAACCTACAATCGACCCCCACTCGGACTTCTCGAGCTACTTTTAATCGATGTAATCGTAATATTCCCAGCACTACCACTTAACTCAGATCGAGGTAACGATAAAGTTTTTTCGGTCAAATTCTCCTGACTTAACGATTTTTGTGTAGCGAAAACCGGTATTTTTGACGAAACTAAGCCCGCAAACGGTTTTTTATCTGCTACCGCTTTAACGGGTATGTTACTCGGTTTTGCGGATATACTTGGTTTTTGAATCGGTTCATTCGATTTGTGTAATTGATCTAGTTGTGAAAGTCGTCTGTTCTCTAAGTCCGTGCTTGTAACAATCGTTCCTTTTGGAGATTCATAAGTTGCTGTGCGGAATTTGATGTGACTGTTTCTGGGTAAATCGAAATCTGAGTGTCGTTTCTTTGGTTCACTTGTTCGTTTTTTGTTATCTGCTAAGTGTTTCGCTGAATGATATCTCTCATTCGATATAAAATCGTTTAGCATATCGATATCCAGTTCGTATGATAACACCGTTTCATCGAATTTCTGTAGGTTTGGTGGAGTTCGCTGTCTGTTTGATACTTTGTCTTTGCTTATTTCTGTTTTTTGAACTAGTTTTTCTGGTTTGGATGACACTTGAATCTCAGTTACGTGACCTTTTTGTGATTCGAAATCTTTTGAATCGATACTGCGATTTGAATCGATATTGCGAATCGATTGTTTTGTTGTTATTGTGGGGTTTATAGAGTATCTAGTTTTAGTCACTTCTACTGAATCTTGACTTGAGGTGCTTTTGTCTTCTAGATCCTGAATAATTCTTATTCCCATACGAGATAGTTCTTCCGATGATTTTTGCGACATAAAGCTTGGATCGTTTTGAAGTTTCTCCATTAGTGCCTTAGCTTCATTTTCATCCATTTCTGTTGTATTCAAAATTATTGTTTCAGTTCTCGTGTATGAAGGTTCCGTAGAAGTGAAATGTATGTTTGGATTTTGTTTCTTTATTTCTTCCAAAACTTTCTTATCTATATCCTTTACGTTGCCTTCCTCCAATTCTAGTTCATTTATTTCCCCAGAGCCTTTTAGAATGCCGAAGGTAATCTGTTCAACTTGCAAAGGAGCTTCAGTTTTGGTTGTTATGTATTTAGTCGAAACTTTCTCGACATTTTGAGTGATTACTTTATTTCCATATTCGTCTTCTGTTACATTTACCGTTACTGTTTTCTGTATAGGCTCTTGTTTCATAGTCAATGAAACGCTAGCTGGTTCCATATATAGAGTTCTTGTTTCTTTTTCTTCACGTGTATTTGTGCCTTCAACTAAATCTGGTACCAATCGTAGATTAGCTTCACCTATCTCTATGGATTTTGTGTAAGAGTTACGTTTTACGTCAGATGCTACGTTTTTGTCTGTAGATATGGTAACGATGTTGGTGCTTTGAATTTCTTGACTTCTCGATTCTTTCTCTCGATTAGACCAATCGGTTGTGAATGTTTCTTGTGGTTTTTTGTTCATTTTTAAACTGTTATTATTTGATCCGACTCTAATGTTACTGACAAATTCGTCGTAATCTCTCGGTTTTGAGGTTTTTAAATCAAAATTAACGATATCTGGTTGATGCATAGATTTGAATGAATCTGTTAATGCGGGAGTTTCTTTACTCGTTGACGCTTCATATTTTTGTGTTTGATCAATATGTACATTGAATATAGGATTTTTAGCGAGTAATTTCTTCATCATTTCTGATTTAGGTCTCTCCAAGCTATTGACGTATGAACTTCGAGAGACTTTCATATCATCGGGTATGTTCGTATCATAACTGATTGTGTGTTTCTCTTCGTATTTCACGGGCAATGTCTTAGTTTCAACTACTGATGTTTCTTGACTTTCCAAGGAACTTTGGTTACTACCATCGGAAGTCGATTTCGCGAATTCAGATACGAGTTTCAAGTGAACTTTCATGTTTTCATCCATAATTCTTCGCGCCAAGTGATCTGATGTTTCGTGCTCCTCACTTTCTTGGGTTGTATCTAAATTGGTCTGAGATTTACGAACAATTATTTCTTGTGAACTATGTTTCCCAGAGTCCATAGAACTGTTAGATCCTTTGACGATAGCGTCTTCTAAATTACCAAATTCGGATGCTTTCTTCAAACGGTTTCTTTGGAATGTGTTTAGCCCTTCCATTGCGGATGTTTTAGCTATATTCAAACTCAATCTCGGTTCTTTTTGTTTCATTACAATCCCTTTATCAGAATCTATCATATCTGGTAGAACATCTTCGTTGCCCGAGTCGAAAAATGTTGTTTCGACAACAGACATCGCTTTACGTTTTTTAGGGGACAATGTTTCTTGTATTTCACCATCATCGGCCGAAATATCTAAGCTTTGAGCTCTTTCCAACGTCCCAGTTGACGGTTTACTTGCTTTGGCCCTTATTTCGAATCTCGATAGATCACCCAATGATGCCGCTTTTCTTTCATTTTCATCCAAAATGGAAGTATCTGTTGAATTCCCAGTTTCATTTATCGGTGAACTATGAATGGTTATATCGCTGTTATTTAGTTCGATAGTAGTGGATTCCTTATCACTTTTATCACTATTATTTAAAGACACAACTGAATGGACATCTTGATTAGAAGATAAGTTAGATTTGGAATCTTCGAAGTAATTGTTTAACGAATCGCTCTCTTTCCTGAAAGGTTTTGAAACAATATCATCAATATCTTCTTGACTGAAATTAATAGATTCTTCAAGACGTGACTTAGTTTTAATGGTTTTTGGCGTAGATGTGTTCACACTGAACGCAGATTTAGTACTTTCATGAAGCAAACTCGAATGATATTTCTCGTTTTTCAAGAAATCGTGTAAATTATTCATTTGTTCCAGAATACTATCGTCGCTTTTATTTTTCTCTGGATCGGGAGGAGATGGGGCTTTGCCTTTTGATTTTTTTGGTTTTGGCGCTTCGACTTCTTTTTTATCAATTTTATCTTTTTCTTGTAATTCCATAGAACTTTTTCTATTATGTCGTGCGGCTTTAGCTGCATCGAACATGTGTTGAGGTAATTCTTGAGGTATGCCATTTTCGTCTCGTTTGATTCCACTTGAATTAAATTCAGTTCGAGTGAAAGATTGAGAGATATCAGATTTCGTTGTTTCATGGCTGATATTTGTTATGTTTGTGATATTTGTTTCTGATTCAGTACTTTTAACTCTTGCATTTGGTATTGGAGGTGCCAACTTTTCTCTACGTTTAGCAACTACTGGTTTCTTCTGTTCAACTTCGCTTTCGTGTTTAATTTGTGCTGTTGGTTTGTCTGCTTCATCGGTGGCTTTCTTTTCGAGTACGACACCCCCATTTTCAACGCTTTTTTGTTTTAAAACGCCATCATCGGGAACGTTTGGAGGTAATACCCTTATTCCAAACTTCATGCCACGCTTTGGATCATACTCTCGTTTTTGTACTTCCGAATGTTCGATATGGGAAATGCCATTTTCCGGTTGGATAATTTGAATGTCACTTCCTGTTGAGTTTCTATTTTTATTTCTTTCCGGTTTGCTTAAAGCTGGCAATATGTCTGAATGTCTAGTTTTGTTTGCGAGCTTCAGATTTTTTTCGTTCTCTCGCTCTAATGTGGTAGACTGTTCTCTTTTCTCCTTTTTGTTTCTTTCTAAGGTGGTAGTGATGATTTTTTCTGAGATTATCTTCTTGATTCCGCCTTTACCTGGTTTCGTTTCTAGTGTAGAGTTGTTTGAATGTGATGTGTTAGGTGATTTTGGCGGATGCAAAAGTTTTCCCTCTTTTTCCAGCTGAAAACAAAAAAAAATATTGAATTATTTTTTAAATATATTTATGTGAATGGTAAATGGTAATATTATAAAAATTGAGTACATTTTATAAGTAAAAGTCGAACATTACTTTAAAGAAGCAATGGAAAGATTGTATTGCATAACATAAATATGCAAGTGATTTGTGATTTTAAATTAAAAAATACAAAGACGTTTTACATTTCTTAATAAATCACATTATATATATTAAGTCAATATTTATTTATAATATTATGTCATTTATTACTTCGCAATAAAATGTAGGTGTTACTAAACTTTAATAAAATTTCTATGATCTATACTAATATTATGCATAGTGTTTGGTTCATGACTTAACGCAGCATGAATATTTCATTCACATATGCATAGCTCAAAATACATAGTCTTATTTTATTTTAATCCCGCGGATACGAAAGTTTAGTTAAGTTATGGCCTTTAGACCGAAGAGGAGTTATTATATTAAACGAACTATAGTTTGCGCAGAACATTATTGTTTTTTTTTATTGCTAACACTAAAACTGGCCAATAGCTACTAAACAAAAAAAAGAAAATTGATTGACAAACAAAGGAGAAAAAGATATATTTCCCATATATATTTAAAGGAACTGTTTTGTATTTTACATATAAGTATTACTAGTCCACATACCATTAGACCCATCGGTTTGAAGTTTAAACTGTGCGTTATATATGTAATGTACCTACAATGTACATAATATAATAAAACTAGCGACTCACCATCGCTTCGCTCGGGTTCGTCCCTAGCTTGATTTCCCATATAATGTTTCATCCCCATTTTCACCCCAATATGGGATGATTTCCTTGATAAAAAGTATCCTATGTCCTTTCTAGGGTCTCAAACTATCTTCTTAGCAAACATCTAAATCGGTTCAGTAGATCCAGATTACCCACTACAACGTTACAAACTCACAAACTATACCTTTTATTAGATTTGTCATGTCATATGACATTGACATATAATATGGATTTGAGATTTTTTTATTATATTCTTAGATAATTCACGTGAATATGTAAAATTTAAATAAAACTATCTTTCTGGATTTTTTTCGCGGAATTATTTTGATTTATGATTCGCTACGTTTCGAATGCATAGCAGCAATCATGGTCACGGGAGAGACTGACTGACTGACTGAAACTGAGTTTCTTATTAACTAGATTTACCTACATGTGTTCTTATTCACGAATTCAAACTATAAGATCTTTCATTTTAAATGTATTGTAATAATCAAAATTATATTTATATTACATACTAATTGATTTACCCTTACTTGGGAGCGTCCCTAAATACCATACCATACCATAATACATACATAATTATGTATTATTCCAGGGTCTATGTATATCTGTATACTAAATTTCATCCAAAATAGTAACAAACATATATACACATCATGACGACACGTTTGGCTCAGTTTGTAGGGTCACTACAAACTGAGCCAAACGTGCTATGCCAACGGTCGCGGGTTCGAGTCCCGTTGGGGGCATCCATTTGTGTGATGAGCACGAATGTTTGCACTCCAGTCATGGGTGTTTATATTTATAATATGTATGTATATAAAGTTATATATGTATAGTATATCAACTATCTGGTATCCATAACACAGGCCTCGTAGCTTACCATGATACTAGATGGTGGTGTGTGTTAAAGTCTCAACATAAAAAAATAATAATAATACAAACTTTAACATATACATATAATAGTACATAATGTGATTATAGATTTTTGATAGTAACATGTTTTATCACACTCGTATAAAGGAGCTAAGTCAAGCCACAGACAATCACTAGTCCAACAGTAACTTTGCATAAAATTCACATTAATTAGACAGTTTGATATGAAATGTGTCATGGCATATAATTTAATACGAATTCGGCACTATTGTCCAATCACATATGACTTTCTTCCATTCAAGTTATAACAATGGCTGTACTGCATTCCGTAGCGTACTACTTTATTGTACTCGAAGCCACACCGCATCTAAATATTATTGTTCAACGATAAACATCCTTATTATGCTTACAATAAGAGACATAATATTATGAATTGTTTACATTTTTATCATCTTATGTCTTGTAAATGACCAGTTAAGTTGGCACTTGATGGGATCTATGGATCAAAAAATGACAGTTATTTTTGTTACTATGACAGATAGATGCGTAGTTTTTTGTTATTTCGTTAATTTCAATTAGTATTGAAAGATCTAGGAATTACTACTTTTTGTAAAATATAAAAGGAATTCTTAGAAACTGAAGCATGGTTTTTATTTTGTATATCATTATATAATATATATTATAAAGTAATTTAAGTTTAATAATTCATCCTTTTTAACATCCCACTCTTAAGATTATATGGTCTCAGTCTGTGATTGTCAGACCTATCATTCTGGTCAAATACGGGTTGGCAAACTTCACAATGTCATTTGAAATCTAGTTCGAATTACTGAGATAAAGAAGTTACCTCAACATGTTTCCTTTCCCCATTTGAATTTGAATAAAAAACAAAAATACTAACGCAGCCAACAAATTTATATTTATAGACTCTTTTTGATGTCTTTTATTATTTAAAAATTTTCTGTGACCATGATTTCAGCAAAGCATCCGAAACGCCGGGAACAAGAAACAAAATAAATTCGCGAAAAAATCCGAAAAGATCGTATATCTAAGAAAAAAGATAACAAATCTTTTAGATATAATTCTACATTAAATATACATACTATGATTAAATCAATTATAATCTAGCATAGATTTTGAACATACATGCAAAAACACTAAAGAACACCCAGTACAATAACTTAGAGGCCAAGTAACGCTGGTTGTTGTGACACATACCCACGTATTATACGTATGGGAAATTATTTCGGAATTATGCTCTATAGTTATTTATGTATCGTATTGTTTTATTCATTTGCAAAGTAGACGTGACGGGTGGTTCAATTATGTAAGGCATAGGAGTGGTTGGAATTGTAATATCTATTTTGAAATGCAAGCGATTTCGAGTTACAGGATGGTAATTTTGATGCAAAATTCATAAGCTCTTGTGATTTGCTAAGCTAACTATTAACTAGGACTATTTCGCCTCCTTTAAAGCTTTTACACGTTGTGCAAGTTTTATGGACAACAGAATTTGGATTATTTTTTATTGTATTTTTTACAATAGGTTGAACTTTTATTTTAACCGTTTGAATATATTCGAAGGAATTTCATGAACTTCCAGTTTTTTCTTGTTGCCATAGATTTTAGAGAACATGCAAAACAATTATATAATTAATAATTCGAGTGAGGCTAAGTTTTATCTCATTGTATCTTTATAGGATTTATGCCAAAGTTACATTTAATTAATTTCATTTACACCGGTAATATTTTCTCAAAATTACTAAAACACTTTAATATTTATTTTATAAGACTCGAGCACTTTGAGTCTAAACTCTATTATTATCATCTCATAAAAAACAGTTAGAAAATCAAATATAGCATATAAAACATTCAAAATAACTCACCGTGCTGACATCACCGGTAGATCCAGCTCTTCTTATCACAGGATGTTCGACTCTCCATCCCTCTCCGCTTACTCTACCACCTTCTACTACCTCCAATTCCACGGGATAAGGAGATGCTAAAGATAGAATAGCCACAGCATCCTCTAAAGGTGTACCAGTGAACTCAATTTTGATGCTTTTTATTTTGTCTCCTGTAATATAATATTAGGAAATTTAACATTACTCAGATAATGAAGAAAGTAAAAATTAAATATGTTTATATCAATTTAAGTATAAAGAAACAAAGAAATTGTAATTATACTTTTAACGGTTATTATAAATTATTTAGAAAGTATTCCTCACTTGATCGACCATCATCTATGTATACATATAATAAAATTCTGAGTCGAATCTGTACATTAAATATTTTTTGGAAAATCTTATTGAAATAGTCATTATTATCGATACAGAGGCCGAATGTATAGTTTTTAGATTTATTGTTTGTCTGTCTGTCTGGGAATGTATCAAGAGAAAACCACTGACAGATTCTAATGAATTTTGGTATGATGATAGCTGGTTATCCGGGTCAACATATAGGGTACTTTTACTGCGAGTAAATCTCATCTCTGAGAAATCTATACTAAACGAAAAAGGTACGAACCCGAGCGGTACGAGGGTGAGTTTCTAGTCGATTATATTATAATGAAACAAATAACAATGTTAGTGTTAAGTGTCTACTACGATATGTATGATAAAAACAAAGAACAATTAATGTAACGCGCGATACAAATTAAAAATCTTCTTCGTCAGTATTTTGTAGCCAAACTTCATATATCAAATTTCTGTGTGTGTGTTCGTAATTCTTTTCCTTCTTAAGTTCTTTGTCGATTTTGATTTTAGCTACGCTTAGACCCGGTAGGTGGCGTGACCTCGTTTTTTTAATGTTCCAATGAAAAGATCCGTGGCATAACGTCCGCCTTCCGGTTCCGCTAGTCTATTATAAGGGATATTATTGGCTTAATGTTACATAACGTAACGCTAAGACAATTGTTATAATTATACATAAATAAAAAATATATAAAATAAATAAAACTACGTGAACGGAGCTGCAGGCAAAAACCAGTTATTATAAACTACTACGAAACATGCATTATCAGGAAACAATCTGGCTGAAGCCCTTCCTTCAACTCTCTTGTACCACACCTTTTCCTTTCTTTACACTTCCTTAGATGGTAACGGATGATTAATAAATCAGTATAAAAAGTGTAAATTGCCTCGGTAGTCTAGTGGCTGGTATGACAGATGCGGACCCGGTGGTTCTGGGTTCTATTTTCGGGTCGGGCAAAGTTTAGTTATTGAGTTTTTCTGTTAAGAAATTTTTAGTAATAGCCCGAGGTTAAAAAGTATGCGGTTTTTCAACGGACATGTTGAATTATCGTTTTATTGGACTTTGAAAGTGGAAGAAATAGAGAGTGCACTTGTGTTTGCACATTTGCTGTATAATAAATAAACTACAGCGCGTGCGCCAGTGAGATTGGCTGCTGTAGTTGAAAACATTTAGGATATTACATCCGCAACACCATTGCACTGTGGCTATAGGGTTTCTCTCTATTAGTGACTCTATAATGGATTTCCTTACCAACATAAAAAAGGAGGATATCACATAGAATTCTTACCAGGCTGTAATTTAGCTGCCGCAGCAGGCCCACTTCTCAGTACAGAGTGTACACACACGCCGTCACGTGCACCGCCCCCGCAAGTAAGACCCAATCCGGTGAAGTCCCGCGCCCATAGCTTTACCTTACGTACTCTTGCACGCTGTAAATAACAATAGGCATTTCTTTTAATTACATATATTTTGGCATTATTTAGATACTGTATTCTAGACTAAATTTTGTAAGATGTTTTATTTTGGAAGTGTGGAAGTGGAAGATAATTTTTATAAAGATTATATAGATTTTAGTATATAAATATTAAAAATGCGATTTTATATTTAAATTAGACACCTATACAGATAAATAAAATTGAAGTGTTTGTTTGTAATGTCAAAATAACAGCTTTTTACTAAATGCATATGAAAGCATATACCGTACTAATAAGATAAAACAATTGTTAAAATTTTTGCCTGTCTGTCTGGCTAATCTCCGAAACGACTGGACCGATTTTGACGGTACTTTCACTGGCAGATAGCTGATGTAACTAGGTGAAGTCACTTAGGCTACTTTTATTTTAGAAAAAGCATCAGGGTTCCGCGCAAAAAAATAAAACCCATGAAATTGTGACGCACCCGAACGAAGCGAGGGTAAATCGCTTGTTTGCATCGTTATTTTTATTAAAAACAATGTTGTTCATCTGTTACTTTAAAAAAAATCGACTAAATATTACTAACTTCAAGAAATAAAAACCCCCTTTAATTAACATACATTTTATTCCTACTTTTTTTTACAGTAAACTTAGTTATAAGTCAAGGTGAAAGTTTACAAAATACATTAAACACTGCAATTTAATACAATAAAGGTTACGTTTAGTGGTCACTTATTGACTCAATCAAATTGTCTCAATTTTTGTGAATGCGGTAGCGACATCATAATGGTTGAAAACAACCAATGATTCACAGACAAGCATTTGGAACAATTTATTTTCATAACAACTTTTGCGTGTGTCTTAAATCTACAAATTTGTTTAATGTACTTCATTAAATTTATGTAAAAATTTAAAATACTAATATTTTAAATTGTCATTTCATTATAAGAAACCATTAAACTAATAGACAATTGGCGGACGCAATGACCTTTAAAACAAAAATAAGGAAATATCACGTAGGTACCTACTATTTACTCTATAGTTATCGACTACAATGACTCGATATGAATTATATGTAACAGCAGGTATAATAATATTTGGTTTAACCGCCTGATTTCAAAGCTTCGTACATATTTTGAATAAAACTATCTTTTCCCTGACTTTTTAAGAGTCCCCGTCTCTCCCGTGACCATGATTGCTGTAAAGCATTCGAAACGTCGGGGACCAAAAATCAAAATAAATTCGCGAAATAATATTAAAAGATAGTTTTATTTAAAATGTCAAATATTCGCGTAAATCTAAGAAAGTATTACTTAGTAAATATTTACAGAGTATCTGATACATTTGGGCTAAGTAATTGGAAAATAAATGATAAGATATACAGATAGAAAGAAGATACACATGGCAGTGTGCCCGCAGAGATAACCACTTCGGGCTGTTATTTACTGCTAACCAAAGAAATACAAATATAATTGGTATATAGTATACTAGTAAAAATGTTATTCTTTTACGTTAAAATGAACGAATTTGGATTAAAAGTGCATAGTTATATTATAACCTGGAGTAACAAATTGGCTACTGTTAGGCATATAGGGACGAGGTTAAGGCGCAAGTTTTGTTGAGTAACCATTATCTTACAAAAGACAAATAAATGAGGAAAAATACGGTAGTTTTCCATCAACCTACAGACATACCTATTTCGTTATATATAGTGCCATGATTTCATGTGTTTGTTATTAAAAATACCTAGAGATAAGACGCCATTGAGGTTATGACATCATTCTTAATGCCTTCAGTTTAACTACATCCGTGTGAGCAAGCCTTGTAATCCTTTGTAAATATTTAAGAACGCTTTTTTTCATCCAATCATTGGGTTTGGGCAGATTGGATGTGAGCTTCAAATATAAACCTGTTGAATTCAGTTTTGGCTCTCTTAAGTTTTTTAAGAATTCGTTATATAAACCTAATAATTGTTATTTTTTTATTTACAATTTAATAGTTCTTATTCTTTCATTTTTATTATCTAAAAAAGAAAAAGAAAACTGGACTTCAAACTCAATATTTGTGATAATACCGAGTCTTTTAATATACTAGAGTAAGTCTATGCAGTAAGAGCATCAATATTAACTTTTCTGGTAACACTTGTGTACTTTGTTATAGAAACAACGCCGCCGCCTTAATTGCTTAAATGTTTTAATGCTTAATTTAAAAAAAACATTCAGCCTCTGTATCGATAGTAATGACAATTTCAATAGGATTTTCCGAGTCGAAACTGTACATAAAAAAATATTTAATGTAACAGATTTGACTCAGTTAGAATCTTATTAAATGTATAGATTATACAAATATCAAGTTATTTATAATTGTATTATTAGTAAACTATTAACTATGTGTCAGTTAACTAAATAGATTAGATTCTTCGAAGTCATTGGGTAGTGTCAAATTCCATTTTCTTTTATTATTATTTTGCGTCAACTGTGAAGGTCAGTGTTAACCAAAAAAATAACAAGCCTTTGGTTGTTTACCGATAAATTGATATGATATTTTTTCATATGTAACCGAGAAGATATTTAAAGTTTTTGAAATATTCATTGAAAGATAATGGGTAATCATTTTAAGATTCCTGCCAACTTGTAATTTGGAAACGTTCCGCGAACCGTAAAACGTGTCCTTCGGTTATAAAATCACAAAGAAGTTATTGATGCTCTTTAATAAGTTTGGCTTCTGGGAATCTGCGACTTAAATATTTAAATTGTGAGAACTAAACAGTTGTTTTTTGTTGCAGAATTTATTGTCGTTGTCTTTATAATTAATGAACGAGTTCACTTTATATAACAGATGATATCAAATATATAGATTACTAAAGTAAAAGTCTAAAGTAATCTATATATTTGATATATATAATATATCAAATATATAATATATCAAATATATAGATGAATAGAATAATTTGTAGATTGGCAACAGAGTAAATATCGATTGTTCCGATGCGTTATATACCAGTAAAATTAAACCTTGTATTATATAGAAGCTTGTGTATTGTACTGTTTTCAGTCCTTTTTTAACGTCCCACTGCTGCGCATGGGCCTTCCTTTCCTACAAAGGGATCCTCACCATAGTCCACCACGCTGGCCAAATGCGGGTTGGCGGACTTCACATGTCTTTCGAAAACTTGCTAGGTTCTCTCATACATACAGGTTTCCTCACGATGTTTTTCATCACCGTAAGACAAGTGTAATCATGTGGGAAATGATTCGCACATGAAAATGTGAAAAGTACAAAGGATAGATCGAAGATAATGTGAGAATGAGGATAGAACATATGTACGTAGGATGAATAGATCCATAGGATACGGGACTCTAAGGCCTGACTACACTATATTGCCGATCACGGTTCGTTCTTAGTTCGATATCGGTCTGGTAAAGTATTTTTGTACGAGAAACAATGAGTGCATTTACAATATCGGTAAAAGTCAAGTTTCGCTCGAATAACACTCCAGCAGTTTCTTCAGTAGAGTGTTATCCGCACTATAGTGTGGAACGGCCCTAAAAGTTGATCGAATCTGAAGTCTAATTTCATAGTGTTAAGAGAAGAGTTAAAAAAAAACTTTCACAGTGATTTAACCAATGATATTTAGTACAGCACTTACGTGACTAAATAAATCAATAATAGTTTTTTCAATCGTTACCCAATTAATATCAATTAGTGTGTTCTTAATTATTTTCTATTAAATTAAACAAATTAACCTCAATAAACATAATTAAACTTAATATTTTTTAAATTGCCAAAGTAAAATCCGTTTTAGTGTAACCTACTTAAATAATATTAAATAAATAAAAAGATAACAACGTTCTACCGGCGACATACCCTCGCTTCAGCCGGGTGCGTACTCTAGGTACCTTTTGTATTAAGTACGTACATGTAGCGCCACCATCTGACATAATATATTAATACTAACAGTACCCCAGTTCTGTCTATTTTTTTTTTTTTACACTTTAACAAAACCCCTTTTAGCGTGAAACAGAAATAAAGATACATACATACAGACATACATACATACATACATACATACACGCATATACAAACTTCCGTAATTATAATAAAGAGTCGATTATAATACCGCTGTGCCGGGTTCATTTATATTTATAAAACCGATAGATTTAACCTTAGACTACCGAGGTATACTAAGATTTTACCTAAAAAATTGGAACCTGCGACCACCAGTGTGGAATAAACGTAAAGAACTGATAAATTCTTTAGCCAAGGCGTGAAATGCCGAGACCATTTTACTACCAGTGCCTAAGATAGCAGTCACTAGTAGTTACTTTGTTTACTGAAGCAAAGACAGGATGTAACAGTACCTGATCAGATTACCTGCTATTAATATTTTTTCTTATATTGATAACCAAGCTATATAAAAACGCCGAAAAAAATCATAATAAATCTTAAGGTTAACAGGTAACATAAATAGTTTAAAAGAAACATATATTCTACCCATAATATAAGGATGCTGGATCCTATAATCGTTAAAGAAATATCCCTTCGAGAGCACTTTATGGGGATTGGGGGGCCTTTTAATGTTTTTTTTATTATTATATTTGTTGTTTATGGTAACATAATATACTGTAAAAAATAAGTAAAAGAGACTAGTGGCCGATTTCACCAACGTCACCTAAGTTTAAGGGATTCCCTAAGCATGGTCAGGGGCTGTAAGGGGACAGTTTCTGTTTCGCTGACAGTTCGGAGTCACCTAAATGTTAAAATGCCACCTAAATATAGGTACTAGAAATACGGGCTCTGACGATGGTAAAACGAAATTTAATTTAGGGGCTAGTTTGGGGGAACTTTTAAGCTAGGTATCCCATACGTACATGGTAGCATATGGGATGTTGGTGAAATCGGGCATTAGACTTCTGAAATTAAATTTTTAAAACAAATTCCTGAAACGAAATTCCCAAACCTGGGATAAAATGTTTATGAGTAAACATTTTTAATATGATTACCACTCGTTAATAGGATGAAAGAATATATCTTGAAGAAACCGCCATTTCTGGCAAAGTTTAAATAGTTTTGACATTTTCATTGGTCAACCCATCTAGCCGTTTCAGCATGAAGGACTGTTACAGTTACTGTTAGCCTATATCGTCCCACTGTTGGGCAACGGCCTCCCCTCAAGAATAGGCCAATTTGGAGCGATTTTGCGCAATTCATCTCGCCATTCACATCTCTAGTTCGTGGTCTGCCGCGAAGCCAGACAGGGAGTCTCAGGGCTCCACTTTATGGTAACTTTGGTCGACAGTTCTGCAAGCATTAGGCTGACATGGTATGACAAAGAGGTTACAAACCTTACCTATTTATAATCCGATTAAAACGGACGAAGTCACTAGAAAATGTTAGTATAACACAAACACTAACTATCTGTACTTAGCAAATCTGCATCTAACATAACATTCACTAGTAATTGCACAACGCATAATTTCCTCTCAAGTAGGCAAGAACGGGTTCGATTCCGATCCACATGCCGACGCAACACGTAGCGAATCGATCTAGGCCCGCATTCCGGCCTAATGTGATGATAGTGACAAGAATATTAGTTTTGTATTGGATAAGTATTGTGGCTTGTGCTTATAATATCTACATAATAATTCACGTATAATGTTAGATCATGTAATGTGAATAGTGACTTTTGGTTTTTGGTTATTGAAGTTTAAAATACGATAAATAAAAAGGGTTTTTTTTAATTGAAAATTCTTATTCCTTATATTTTTTTTTCCAAGTCCTCTTATTTTTTGTCCTCAATTATCAAAAACCTCTATCAGCAGATTGAAAAGAAATGCCCCAGTTCTGAGAAGAACTGCCGAAAAAAATGTTCTTTTTTTAAGTTTTTCATATTACGATCTAATTGTATTTTTATTTTTTAATGTGTTATTATTTTAGCTTTGACCTTAGATATTTCGGTCGTTCGATACAAGTGTAATCACTTTATTGCGCCCAATATAAATGCAATTATTTGAGAAATTTAATTTAATAAAGACTAAATTACTTAGATATATTTTCAAATAATAATATTTTTTTAACGTAAAAAGTACTCTGACTAAAGAATTTCTATTGGACTAGCAGAACCCGCGGCTTCGCTCGCATTTAAAGCACAAAAAAACAAACAGTTTTTTCCCTTACCTTTACAATAATATACGGTAGTCTGCCCGATTTGGGGACATTTATGATTACTGTTCCGCTCCCTTGCATAGCATCCGTAGCATGATGATATATTATAGCCTATAAGCCTTCCTCAATAAACGGGCTATCTAATGCAAAAAGAATTTTTCAAATCGGATTAATAGTTCTTCATATTAGCGCGTTCAACACGCAAACAAACAAACAAACACTGCTTCTTTATAATATTAGTATAGATAAGATTCTTTTATATAAGCAAAAGAAATACACAAGAGCGTATAATAAATACATAATGAGATCTTATCCTTTTTTGGAGTCGGTTAAAGAATAAACCTACGCTATTTTAGCCTTAAACGATTACATACATATTTCGAACTTTTATACATAACAGATTAAAATTTTTATAGAATGTTTTATTAAGGTAAATACCACAGTCCACTGCAAATATTAATAATAAAAAAAACAAATTACTTTAATATGAGAGGACCTCCGTAAGACATGTGGTTTTATGGTTTTTCTTTGTTTTTGATCTCTCGTAAAAACGGTATTAACCAAAAACATTAAGTTGATATTGAGATTATACTATTAACTGTAAAAGAACAAATAACAAAAAAAATGCCAAGTGTGAGTCGCTGTCCAGGTAAAACTTCCATAAAAATATCCTGCATTACGTCATACATTATTATATTGTAAGGTGTTACGTACCTTAAGTGCGCAAATCCGATTCACATGACAGTTTCCGTACTATTTTGATTCGCTTTTAGTTGTAACTGTATAATCAAATCTTGGAAATCGATTTTAACCTAGTTCTGATTGCCGTATCGATTTGAGACCTTGTATGTATAAATTCGGAAAGAGTAAATAATAATTTGATACAATCGAACTGATTGATGTGTTGTTGGAGCCAAGAACTATAACAGTGGAATTTTTCAGTGGATATCTATTTACTAAAGTTTAAAATCTTCGAATTTGTGCTTATTTAAATTCCACACATCAATGAATGACATGATGGTAAAAAATATGTTTTTTTTTTTACTTTTCACTGTAATAGCATATATTATGTATCTCCTAAGGTATACTCGCAATAACTATTTATTTCTATTTAAAACGTACCTAGAGATGCATCTCAGCGAAGCTAGGTTAAGTCGCTAGCCTATACTAATAGTATAAAGAAATAAAGTTTGTGAGTTTGTGAGGTTGTAGAGGGTAATCTCTGGATGTACTGAACCGATTTAGATGAAATGTTGGTAAGAAGATAGTTTAAGACCCTGGGAAGAACATAGGATACTTTTTATCCCGAAAATCATCCCCTAAGGGGATGAAAATGGGGATGAACGTTTGTATGGGGAATCAAGCTAGGGACGAACCCGAGTGAAGCGAGGGTGAGTCGCTAGTTAACTATAAAAACACATTACACTTTAGATACAAGTAACTAAAAACAAAATTCATCTTACAATGTACCAGTTATATTAATTAAAAAACGTAGATATTTTTTATATAACTCTTGAACTAAACTCGTGACAATGTTTTTTCGTAGATTGGTAAAAAGTGTAAATGTACGAGTAACGATATTGTGCTTGAAACTTGTTAAAATTAATTTCTAAAAATATTGTACTCCTAATAAAAACAGTATAATATTCAAAAATAAAAATAATTTATAAGCCGGTCCGTTGACTTGAAAATTATTTAAAGGACGTGCTATATCCTTTTTGAAGTCGGTTAAAAACTAGAAACATATTTTTTTCTTTTATACATAGTAATATTATAGATTGTATCCTGCATGGTATTAATTAAAACTGTAAAAAAGTACTAATACGAGCGTACACTTTGAAGCGCTACCTCTGTTCGTACCTAATGACATTGTTTTTCTACAACGCCAAAAAACCAGTCGTACTATAAAACCAACAATAATAATATGAACACAAAATAGCAAAGAGATTATTTTAATCGATTTAAAACGAGTAAGTTCTGCACATGTCGTCTGACATTTTTGTGTATGTAACAACTAACAAACACAATGTCTTTGAGTAGTACATAATTTGTTTTGGATGATTTTTAGCACCTATTCTTCAATTTTAAACAACAGAAAAACATGCCTTAGAGCGAAATAATTGGCCTATAGCGATAATATTTTGAGATGACGTGAATATTTGACATCGTAATGAAACTAATTTTACGTTTTTTTTAAATGAATAACTACGAATAAGTTTTACGAATAAGTATTTTTTTAAATAAAATAACAAGTCTCTGCCATTACCATGATTGCTATTAAGTATATAAATTGTTGTTAAAAAAAGGCAGTTGTAGCCCAGTGGTAACGCGCTCGCTTGGGAAACCGAGTGAAGCGGGTTCAAAACCCGGGTCTCGCACCTCTGATATTTCATGTGCGAATCATTTCTAACATGATTACCACTTGCCTAACGGTGAAGGAAAACATCGTGAGGAAACCTGCATGTCTGAGAGAACCTAACAAGTTTTCGAAAGACATGTGAAGTCCGCCAACCCCCACTTGGCCAGCGTCGTGAACTATGGCCTGATCTCCCTCGTATTGAAGGGAGGCCCACGCCTAGCAGTGGGTCGTCAAAAAGGGCTGAATACATACATATAAATTGTCGAGAATCAAAAAAGTTTAATCAAAGCGCGACAAAATCCCAAAACGTACTTTTATTGCAATCGAACTACTCTTATAATGGGAAAGTGTGTATCTACGTACGTACGTATGTATGAATGCATGTATGTAAACTATGAATTTTGTAAAACTTTTATTGCGATGTTTGTTGTATGTTCGTATGAGTCAAATATTGCAAGCTGAATTATAACCACTTCCTCTTTACTTATCTTACAGAGTTGAAACTTTACATGTTGGTTCAGTTCCCATGATACAAGACTTTAAATGATATACATATACTCAATGACTACAACCCGTTCTAAAATCTACCATGAGTTGGGTGCTTGCTGCGCCCAGGGTGGGCTCCAAATGGATCTCCCTGAGACCTCAATAGCCAACAGCACAGATATGAAATTTTGTATAGGTACGCATTTAATTATGATTCAGTTAATTTAAATAGTACACCCATACCATGATTTGAAAACACCATCACTTATAAACTAAAAAAATATAAAAATAAATTAATAGTAAAAAAAATAAAAAAAATAAACCTATAAAAGCTTGTTTCTAAAATGTATTTTACCATTAATTTATTTATTCTAAACTGAATTTGATAAAATTTTGTACATGATCGAAGACACAAAGAGACCTACGTCCTGGAGTAACACATGGGTTGTTATTAGGTATTTAGTTCTTATACCATTGTAGAGAAACAAATTGTTTTAAAGGTTATTTGGAATTCGGAAATACGTACATCTTATAATATGAAATGAGCAATTCTTGTAATATCTCTCTTGTATATCTTATTGTAGTATCTCGGAAACGTTTCTAACGATTTGGATCAAATTCTGTATTTAAAATTCCATTTTTTAAGTTTACGAGTATCTATATAGATGTCATTCCTTACAAACGCATTTTTTATATCTAATCCGAAAAAACGCCGAGCAAAGCTCGGTCGTCCAAATACTTACATGTAAATGAGAGTCGTCTTTGCTTTGTTCGGGCTTAGTGAACTCGGCGTGCAAGGCGTGATTTTTGCCACCCAAAGGCAAAGTAGGAGCTTCATGCTGCCAATGCTTTTCCTCTTGCCTGAAGCCGGGATTGTCGAAAGCGAATTCATCCTTCACTGATTCAGGATCTGTCGTGAACACGAGGTGTTTGCCTATAACAATAAGAAAAAAGAAATTATGTTTTGGATACTATGAGTATTTCTTATTCGGTACGTATTTTGATTAAATAATGAGCGAAAAATAAATTATTTTATAAAATAACGACAATGTATGAGTATTAATCCATAGAATAAAAAAGGCTACAAATATTGAGTTCAGTTAAAATATAACCGTAAATTATTTTCTATATAATAATATGTATATTTTGTATCTATACATGAATTTGTATCTACATATGAATTTAAAGGGACCTAAACTACTATCGACTCCCCTCTCGGTCTCCCAGTTCGGGTTCGTCCCTAGATACGTTTTAACGGTGAATATGAAATAGACTGACTTTATATTATTCATTTTTATATAAACAATAGGTATGATGAGTTGTTGTGGGTTATATTATAACGTTTTCCCATGGGAATGAAATAATCTCCCGCGGTAAAAAGTCTATGACACTCTCCAGCCCTCCAATTATCTCGACACAAAAAATCAATCAATCCAATCCGTCACTCTGCTTCAACGGGAAAGAAGGACAAACAAACACACTTTTACATTTATAATATTGGTGTGGATAAATATATTTCTTTATATCAAAGTCATAAAAGGTTAAATATCTCTAAAATTACCGAGACTCGTAGCAAAGTATTTAAGCAATGTCTATTAATACTTCATCCATCATGCAAGATATTTGGACACTTGCGTTAGAAATCGAAAGTGACTTCCTCTATTGCGAGTCAAGCAAGTTTAACACTAACCATCCATGTATAGCAATGATTTATTCAAAGTGATTTTTTCTAAAATCTTAATCATCATACTTCTAATAGATATTTTCTAAACGTTATGAAGGTATTTATATCGGTTTAATATGATAAATGCATCGGACTATTATTATAATTGTGAATGTAATATGTATGTTTGTGTATACATTAAAACGGTTGGATGGTTTTGGATGAAATATAGTATACAGATAACCAACCAGGAGTACACATAGGCTACTGTTAGGCACTTACAGAGGAAAGTGACACACGTGAGCAGAGCAAGGGAAACTTGCTAGTAATAAATAATATCTAAAAATTCGCTCTTTATTTCTATTATTCTGTGCTTTCTTTCAGTTTTGCAACCCTACCAATATTATAAATGCGAAAGTTTGTAAAGATGTATGGATCTATGGATGTTTGTTACTCTTTGACACAAAAACTACTGAATAAATTTTAATGAAACTTTTATAATAATATAGCACATTTTTTCTAGAGCTGAACCTGAGCGAAGCGAGGGTTAGTCGCTAGTAAGTTAATAATGGAGGTCGTTCGCTGATCTACTAAAGTGAAATGGTATCCCATAAAGGTAATGTGAGAACAGAAAGGTATCTATGTATCTAAATTGTAAGGAAATTTTTTGAAATTTTTTGTGTTAAATTTATTATACCTAATGAAATTTACTTCCTTTAACATTAAATTTAGTTAAAAAAGGTGATATAAATTGTAAGAGATAAATAGACATAGCGCCGCGTACCGCTTCCGGTGGTGCCAAGCCTTAAACGGCAATAATTTAGTGAAAGCCGTTTGATCGTATGTTTTACGATACAACGCCAATTAAAAACTATTCCACGACAATATTTGTCCGATTAAATAATAATAAACTTGTGAAACTATTATTTTTTATTTACAAGTTGTTAGCTCGTTGCAGCTATTTTTCAATATTTTATCTGTAATATTTTTTTGAGTTTTACGTAGAGATAATAGATTTATAATTATAATTAATAAAAAGCTGTTATAATAGCTTTTTATTACATATTTATTGTATAGTATTATTAAACATATTAATTATACATAAAAAACAAGTGATTTATTTGATAAAAACAATACCTACCTACTACTAAATCAAAATAAAGCACAAAGCATAGAGATGAACGGAAATATTACAAGAATTATTATATTTTACGTTTACCACAGAGATGATATATTTTCCCACAATAAAAAGTATCTTATATGTTGACCCGATAATTAGCCATCTTACCTATACCAAACATCAAAATCTGTCCAGTGGTTTTTTCGTGATGTGGTCACAGACAGACAAAAATTCTTAAAACTATAAATTCGGCCTCTGTATCGATAATAATGTCTATTTCAATAAGATTTTCCAAAAAATACATAATGTACAGATTCGACTTAGAATTTTATTATATGTATATATTACTATTTATTATATTAAATTAATTTTTTAAAGTATTATATTCCAAAGATAGAGTCATAATTTGATAATTTCCCTACATTATGTGCCAACTAAAAGTACGACATTAATTAACCATAAATATAGATTTAATTCCCTGTAAACAAAGGTGTTTTTGTAATTTATAATCACAGACTAAGGCCTAATTTTCACTCAGTGAAAACATTAAACCTCATTCACACGAATCAAATACTATTGACTAAGAGCTAGAACTCTTGTAATTATGGTAATATGATCAAACATGTAATAATCCATTTTCATACTTTTAAATAAATACATTGTTTTAGTTAACAATTCAAAGTGTCATGGTCATATGAATAAATTACTCTATTGAATACTTATATAATAATAAAATACATAATTATAATAATGAAATTGCAAAATATATGGTATGTAATGTAAAATGTATCTTAAACCTTTAAAAGATTTTATACCATACTTATAATTTAAAGAAATGCCTTATATAAATAAATACAGAGTAATGAAAGCACCTGCTCCTAAAATAGTGACTACAGGGCTGACTTATTCATCTTAAACCAAACCAAACTGCTAGTCTAAGCGAGCTTAAATTTGAAAAACTTAATCCTATAATGACATAGAGATAGATAATCGCTGAGAAATAATTTTTCAATATTCATATTATTGTAGAGGCTAAAGTGTTGTTGAGTGTAGAGGCATGTGGAAGGCTTGGGAAACAGAATTTTTAGGTGTATTAAAAAACCCGGTCAAGTGCGAGTCGGACTTGCAAACACACAAACATAAAGGATTCCGTGCCTTCGTACAAGATATAACACTATGTACTAATCGATTTTTTTTAATATGCATGGCGGCCATTTAGAAATTCGCCAGCTTGTTTTTATATTATTTTTTAAATTTGAACTCTCTATCTAAAGTGGCTCTTGAGAAACAGCCCGCTGACAGACAGACGGATAGCTCAGTAATAGGGCCGCGTGGGTACCCTTCGGTTACGGATAACGGGACCCTAAAAAATCAAACAAAATCGAGAAAGGCTGTAACTTTTTTGTAAAAGACCTTATTGGTTTATGTTTTTAAGCTATTCACATACACACCTATCTGAAAACATAGATTAATTTTGTCAATTTTCCATAAAATTTGGCAAAACAAAGCTAAGTAGAGACCAACTTACGCAAAAATCAACATGTTAGTACCAAATTAAGTTCATTCTATTAGCAAGACAATTTAATAATTACTTTCTTACAGATGGCTAAGGTAGAAAATAATATGAATAGAAACGTTGAAGGTTAACAAGAGAAAAACTCTGTCGTGAAAGTGGCCCACTTGTATCCGATCTCTATCGAAAGCAACAGTTAAATATAGTCTAGGAGACTACAGGATTATGAATTATGTTATTGAAAACTAAAATATAAGGCTTTGTTTTGGTAAAATATATAATAAATAATAATTTCTCATAATGATAATCTGGTCGTAATCTCTTACTGTGCTTCAAGCCGCTTATATGTCAAATCTATAAGAATAGGTGTACCTATGTTTACAATCACACTTCTGTTGTATATACAAATATTTGTATACGTAAATGTAATGTTTTTTTTCGGATTTGGATGAAATTTCTATTAAATTTCATGGAATGGCACATACGCTACTGTCAGTATCAAAATTTGACAAAAGGCCTGTAGTTATGTACATGAATACAAAAGCTACTTAATATTTTATTATACAATATTTCATTATTTTATTTCTTATATCGCTTTCGTTTCTTAATCTTTTAACTTGAAATAACTCTTTTTTTCTTTTGTTCCAAAAACTAAAAAAAACTCTTCATTGTATCTAAACTCTAAAGAAGCTAAAACATCTCCTAGACTACCTCCGACGTGTGAATTAATGCGACAAGCAAAGCGTTTAGAAAACTGCAGTTATTACAACACTTTGTCGGTAAACTGTACTCATAATTATAATCCTCGCTAATTAAAACACTTGTTGAGGTAAATATAAAGACATACATACACTCGGTATTTTGCATAGAACTAAAAGAATATTTTCACAGTTTTACACACATTATATGTTATTATGTTATGAAATTAATTATTATTTGTTTCACTAGCAATTATTTGCTTTCCGATTACTACCCTCGTTGTAATTTGACCCGGACTATACTCCGTCCAAAGAAGCACATCCTGCGAGATACCCCTTCCTTTATCCGCCCAATACCTCTATATGAAATTAGACAATCAAACTCACACATCAAACAGGGACACTTGAACTTTTTTACAAATTAAATAAAATATATATGTAAAAATTTCTTTTGTCCCTGAAAACTATTGTCCCTGAATAACTTTGCGCACAAGTAGTATATTTATTTTCATTTTTTTTCGTCGACTATCGGTTCGTCAAATTGGTCCACGAAAAGTTATTTTACTTTAACGGTATAATATACAATATTGGTGAAGAAGTTTTTGGAATCGGATGAGTAGTTTCTGAGATGAACTCCAGCATCCAAACTCACATACATATTAATTATTAATATTTTTCTTAATAATATTAGTGTAGGATAATATGCCGTATTAACTTTACCGCTCCGATTATAAAATTAAACTAGACCTTTTATTGTAATCTAAAGCATCTAACGACATATGATATCTGATACATGTACATACACTTAACAGGACGTATTAACAGTTGTTTCAAGGGCTTCATGTGTAACAAAAGTGCAGACACTTTCGAAAATATGATCTAGGTCGGTTAAATTAGAATACGTTATATTGTTTTGTTGTTTTAGTTATATAATAACTTT